ATTGGATCAGAATAATGGTTCCCTAACTGAACTCTTTGAGACCTCTGTTTTAAGTAAGATTCGATCCACTGGTAAAGATTACCGGCCAAGCCGTATTGTTTTAATTTGTAAAGTAGAATATCGTGGTCAACTCGATCGAAAGCCTTGCTAAAATCAGTGTATATTGTATCGACTTGGTAACTCTCCTCTAATGCTGTGTAAGTAAAGTTAGTAAAAGAACTTAAATTAGTTACAGTACTACGTCCAGGATAGAAACCGTGTTGCTGAGATGAAATAATTGTTTTAAATGAAACGAAAATGTTCTCAGTTATTATAGTTTCAAGTAGCTTACATAGGGCTGGTATAACACAAATTGGGCGGTAATTAGTTACGTCCGATCTAGAACCCTTTTTATGTAAAGGGATGACGTACGATAGCTTCCAGATTTCAGGACAAAGACCAGATTTTAAGCACTTGGAGTAAACTATACTTAGTGGCCATGATAGACTATAGCTGCATTGCTTTAAGATATGAGCAGGAATCCCATCTGGTCCTGGGTTGAAGCTGTCCTTTAAGCGTGTCAGTTTAGTAGCAACAATTTCAGAAGTAATTTCAATATTACACATTGTTCCAGAATTATTAATAAACTGTTGTGAATCAAAGTTGACGGGAGAAAACGGTGCATTACTTGTATTATAGACGGAGCTAAAAAACTGCGCAAACATATTACATATAGAAGTCATATCATTGGAAGAATTTTCATTATAATACATAGATGTCGGAATGCCAGAATTACGATTTTTAGAGTTAATAAATTTAAAAAAGGATTTAGAGTTGAAATTGATATTGGACTGAATGTGAGACACATGATTCTTATAGTCTCGTTGGATAGAAGATTTCGTTTGTGCGCGGAGATTTTTATATTTAACATAACATTGCAAATTATCCGATCTCTTGAGTTTATTGTAAACTGCACGTTTTTGTTTTATTAGTTTCTTTGTTTTTAACGAATACCAATAGGGATAGTTATTATGAGTCCTAACACGTTTGGGAATATACAAATCGAAAGTGCAGAATAAGATGTTATAAAATGTGGTCAAGAAATCATCATTATCCAGAATCATATGCCAATTTAAGCTAGATAGATAATCATTTATTAAGTGGTAAGGAGCATTTCGGAAGTCGTAATACCAAGTATGGTCATTTCTTATATCGAGAAAATTCGGCGCATCTTCAGTATAAGTGATTTCAATACAGAGTGGCGGATGATGCAAATCGATTGGAACTAAGCTATAATCAGATCTAGTAACAGAAGTATTATCAGGAACAGTCGATAGAACTAGGTCTAATATAACATTGTTGTTGTTTGTTACAGTATTTAGCTGAAAAAGTTCTAAATAATTAAACGAGTCACATATTATTTTCCCTGAAGTAGAATTACATGAAATACTATGTTCAACAAAGTTATGTAATAAATGAGGCAAATTATAATCTCCCACGACACAGACCTGAGAATAAGGATGTAAATCACGAATAATTTCAATCGTTTTTATATTATCTAAATAAGATGTAATGTACGACTTTGGCGGAATATAAACGGTACCGAAAATAATGGTTTTATTCGACAACTTGACAGAAACAAACAATTCTTCGTGTGTTGATGGAGATTGTAATTTACATCTGAAAGAATTAAGATTAGAAGAAACCGCAATAAGCACACCACCACCCCGGCATTTATTGGTGGCTTCATGATTTCGATCTTGACGATACACAACATAGTTAGGTCCAAAAATTTCATTAGAAGAAATATCAGTACTGAGCCAGGTCTCAGTGAGGATGATAACATCGTAATCCAAAGCAAGTGATTCCATTAAGACAGTAGGTATTTTGGTGCGGAGTCCACGAGCATTTTGGTAAAATAGGGACAACGAGTGACGAACTAGTTTTTTTTCTTAGTTACTATTGTTGGTACACCTTTAATATAGCGAATTGTTAGATCTTGTTCGCCCGCATCAATACGACGTTTTAGTGCGAGTCTAACATTATTTAAATACTCGCGTTGCGAAGGTGTTTTGTCGTCGCTAATTTTAATATTATTGTTACGATTGATAATCACAGCTTTACTTTTCAAAACCTGCAGAGCTTGGGTAGAATCTTCAAGAATTATCTTTAAGGGACGAGGGTTATTTCCAACGCGACCCAGCCTAGTAGTTTTGATGTTAGATGTATCAATATCGGGAACAACAGATAACAATACTTTCGCAGTCTTAGAATCATCAGCAATTTTATCTTCACGATTAACGTTGCTACTTTCAGGCAAATTAAAAATAATTACATTTTTAGCTCTTGACTGACGCTCCATTACTTCTTGAATTACGGATTCAGTAAGTTTAGCACTGTCAAAGGTTTCGGAGTTAGTTTTTAGCGAGGCAAGTTTTTCATCAAACTGGCGTTTCATTTCCTCCAAGGATTTGGTAAATTCCTTTTTCAGATCTTCGATAATAGGTATAATGTCGGCGAATCTATCTATATTAGAGCTGCATTTATTGCATACCACTTTGATTGCACGGGATTTGGCTCTCGTGGTAATGGCATCAGTTTCCGTGAGACCAACACAAGCATAGTGGACGTTGCCGCGACAAACGTCGCATTGAGTTGTTGGTTTGTTAGATTTCACGCTAGACGGGCAACAAACTGTAGAAGACATCCCTACCTTTGTAATTATGAGATATAAAGACAGAGAAGGAACGAATCTTATCAGATGTACAAAAACGATTAGGTACTATCAGCTGTTTGTCAATTTCCAGTAATTTAATCTAGGAGACTAGTACCTAAGGATAATGTACCTGAAGAATACAATAAGGGCTTTCCACTGATACCAATTTTAATAATTGCACTTAAGTATCTCACTCAATAATTCACAATTAAACGCAGAACATGCACATGCACATATCGTGTATTTCTCTATTATTCAATCAGTCATAATGAAGATGACTTCGGATTCGTATTTTCTTATGAATTCTCTATATTCTGACACTTCTTTCGGTTCAAACAGTCGGCACTTTTTTCCATTCAAATAGAGCCAGTTTTAACTTTTTTTGGAGAATTGTTAGCAATAATGTTTGCGCTTTCAACATAAATTGAACAGCCATAGTTAAAATGACTTGCAATTCATAATCTATGAAGAATGTATGCCGATGATTTTTCATATAGAGATTGTTTTAATTGTTTTTTTTTTATTTTCTGAAATTATTTTTGGGATTCTGGGCTGTTGGAGAAACTATGGTGAAAATTACTTTGCATTCGGATTTTCCTAAAAAATCTTTATAAGCATTTTTTTCTTCAAATTCGTAATTTGTGAAGAGTTCTCTATAAATTAGTGCTTTTATTTCATTTGAATAGAGTTCGTTTCAAGATTTTTTAAATAAATTTTTGAAAAATTAATTTTGCATTTTCCGGATTAAGTGAAGATCTAGAATGAAAATGACTTCAGATTCCTAATGAATTTTTCTTTAGGATAAAAACCGTTTTAACTTATTGAGGAACATTTTTCTGCGTATTCCCTAGTTATTCAATCATTTATAGTAAATGTGAGTTCGGATTAATATTTTCTTAAAAATTCTCTATATTCTGACACTTCTTTCGGTTCAAACAGAGGCGCTTTTAACATTTCATAATTATTTGACGAACTTTGTCATGAATGATTTCAAATTTCTAATTTGCGAACCTTCAATAAGTCAGCACTTTTTTCCATTCAAATAGAGCCAGTTTTAACCTTTTTTGGAGAATTGTTAGCAATAATGTTTGTGCTTTCAACATAAATTGAACACCCATAGTCAAAATGACTGGCAATTCATAATCTATCAAGAATGTATGCTAATGCTTTTTTCATATAGAGACTGTTTTAATTGTTGTTTTTATTTTCTGAAATTATTTTTGGAATTCTGGGCTGTTGGAGAAACTATGGTGAAAATGACTTTGCATTCAGATTTTCCTAAAAAATCTTGATAAGCATTTTTTTCGTGAAATTCGTAATTTGTGAAGAGTTCTCTATAAATTAGTGCTTTTCTTTCATTTGAATAGAGTTCGTTTCAAGATTTTGAAATAAATTTTTAATAATTTAATAAATAATTAATTTTGCATTTTCCGTCTTAAATGATGATCAGTTATAATGAAAATGACTTCGGATTCGTATTTTCTTATGAACTCTCTATATTCTGACATTTCTTTCGCTTCAAACAGAGGCGCTTTTAACATTTTATAATTATTTGAAGAATTTTGTCAAAAATGACCTTAAATTTATAATTTACGAACCCTCAATAAGTCGGCGCTTTTTTCCATTCAAATAGAGCTAGTTTTAACTTTTTTTGGAGAATTTTTAGCAATAATTTTTGGGCTGTCAAGATAAATTGGACAGCTATATTCAAAATGACATGCAGTTCATAATATGAAGAATGCATGATATTTTTTTTTTCAAATTATTTTTGATTTTCCGGGTTATTTGAAGAACTATATAGTGTAATGTAATATTTGAAGGACGTTTTATAAACCAGAGCTCTTCGAGTTCAATGGAAAAACCTATTTCTGATGTGAAAAAATTAATAAAGCTAAATTCTTCCCCAATCCTAAAATATACCCATACAAACACCCACACTCAAATTAACCGAAAATTCGCACCAAAATGCCAACTAGTTCGATTTCCTAAATTTGGCAACCGTAAGAGTCACCCACGCACACACAGAATAGATTAACCTAAAATGTCACACTCACCACAAATACCTGGTAAGCAACCTCAAAATAACCTCTCGAACATTATACACCAACTAAATAATTCCTAGTAGACCTGACGATAGCACGAATTAATTAAAGTGCCGAAACATGTACCACCGATTAATAAAATAAAGACGTCCGCACAACAGAACCATCCTATTTACTTTATTTCGAAAATAAACATTCCTCGACGTGACATCTCATCCAATTAGAGAATTAGAAACCCACACAAAACACATATATGTACTCACATTTCCCCTTGGTCCTCTTGTATCGATCGGGCGACGCGAACCCGATGTGTCCCCCGCTCTGTCTATTAAATTCGGCTTGAATAGCGGCCCCCGGGGCCCTCACCAACAAAACGGCCTTAGAAAAAATTTTACGCGCATCTTGACCCCACTCGTGCGTTTTCACCACGAGCACTGAACCGTTGCTGACATATTCGGCGGGAAAGCCGTTTTTTAACAGTCCGTAGTCTTTGTATATAGAACCAGTAAAATAACCTGAAATTGGTTGCATTAATATACGTATGATGAAAAAAAGTCGTCTAGTGGGTTATGGAATTTCTTTAAATTTCAGTGATTACTAGACGACTTTTTTTTTCGATTTCGAGGTTAGTTACCAGTTGCTTGCTGTAACAAGTATCTAAGCCACGTGTTTCCGCTTCCTGGGAAGGAAACTAAAGCCACTGGAGGTTTAGGAGGGTCCATGTATTTAAGCTCTGAACACCATTGTATCTTGGAACGACGTAATGGCGGCCGCAATCCGGGAATCCCATATTCGTAGTTTTTTATCCGGGAGTATTGTTGAACACGGTCTGACTGCTAAAACACGATTTAGAATTTTAATTTGTTGTTTATGCGTCAATTTGGAACTAATTGGTCAAGTTTTATTGAATAACGTAAGAACACACAAGAACACTTACTTTTGTACATAAACTAATAAAGTGTTTGATTGCTTGGGTAATTTTTTATTGTTGTTTACTTGATATACGGTTTATTTTGCGTTTTACCCACACATTCTTAAGTTATTTTCGGGGACGGCTAATTTATGATTAGCACATGAAATTGTAACGACTGCAGAGTCGAGGTCGAATTTTATTTGACGTTTAACCGTAATTATTTATTTGGTAAATCGTCAGACTCGTCCACATGTTACGCATATGTAACAGGTTTTCAATGACGTCATCAGTTTTTTGGAGGAAACAATATTTCATTCATTCTAGTGTATACAGTGTACAGTGTTTCTAAAATAAATCCGTTCGTACAGTCATATTTTTGACTATTCCGTACAAACTTTCCAGGCGACAAATTTATTTTAGTTATTTTTTATAATCTCGGAATCAGTGTTGGCATTTAACCAAAATTTTGAGTAATCTTGTGTAACCCGAGAAATAAACTGCAAAGTTTATTGTCCAAACTTTGTTTATTTTGAGATTTTGAGGACCACTTGTTTACGTTCAAACTGGAAGTGCACTGTTAATCTCCACGTGCAAAAGCTTTGGTGCACATTTGCGTCGAGATTTACTTAAATTTTTAGGAATGACGTCAATAATCTTACATTGTACGTCAATTTTCGGAGTAGGGGATTGAGTAGTTTCGCATATTCAAAAGTCGGTTATATAATCTTTTTTACAGCTTGAATTTGAACATTTATTCTCGAGTTGTTATTTTAATTTTGGAAATTCATTTTGATTTAATCAATAACTTAAAGAGTGTGGAATTTAATTTTAACCGAATAGACGCATGTCACGCGCACGCAAATCTCTAGTTTTTTCATTGTTATTATTCACGTGAATGTTTATCGTAAAATTTGCAGAATCAACTCTTGTTTCTAGTTCTCTCTAAATAATTTTAAACCAATTGTTTACATCTCTCGTTCTTAAGTAGACGTGCATTAAGTACCAAAATAACGAAACTAGTAAACTGAAGCAACAATAGGGGATGTTAAAATTCTTTCAAATTCTTTCAGGAGCCTCTAAGACCTTTTCAAATTTTTTCAAAAATAAAACAAAGAATCTCCAAGGTTCTCCATTCTTAAAAAAAAGACACTACAGAAACCAGTACTCACTTTCAAACTCTTAAAGACACATCAAGAGCCTCTAAGATCGTTTCAAATTCTTTTAAAGGCAAAACTTAAGGAATCTCAAAGATTCTTTCACATTCTTTATAAGAAGACACTAGGGGACCCTAGAATTCTTTTAAACTCTTTCAAAAAGAGAACACAAAGTGGACATGTGGAATTCTTAGATTCTTTTAGAAATAAAATGTCAAGAGTGGGGGATTTTTCAAATTCTTTCAAAAACAAAATATTAGAAATCTCGTGGATTTTTTCCAATTTTTTCAAAAATAAAATACAAGGAATTTTTAACACACTTAAAAGACACTAGGGGGACCCTAAGATTCTTTCAAAACAAAACATCAAGAGTCACTAAGATCTTCTCAAATTTTTTCAAAGGCAAAACGTAAGGGATCTCAAAGATTTTTTCACATTCCTTAAAAAAGATACTAGGGAACCCTAAAATTCTTTCAAACTCTTTAACAAAATACAGAGAGCACCGGAGATCCTTTAAATCCTTAAAAATGAAAGTTGAGGAAACCTTAGATATTTTTAAAGATAAAATACCAAGAAACTGGAGGAATTTTAATTTTTTTTCAAATACAAAATATTAGAAGCCTCGTGATTTTTTTTAATTCTTTCAAAACTAAAACATACGCGGTCCCCAAGATGCTGCCACATTCTTAAAAAAAATACTAGGGGACCCTAGAATTCTTCTAAACTCTTTCCAGAAGAAAACACACAGTGTGCCGAAGATTCTTTTTAGATTCATAAAAAAAAGACGTGGAGAATCCTTAGATTCTTTTAAAGATAAAATATCATGTTTCAAATTCTTTCAAAAATAAAATATTAGAAATCTCGTAGAATTTTCCCAATTTTTTCAAAAACACAATACATGGATTTTTTAAGGTATTTTCACATTCTAAGAAGAAAAAACGCTAGAGGGACCCTAAGATTTTTTCAAACTCTTTCAATACAAAACATCAAGAACCTCTAACAAGAGCGTCTAAGATCTTTTCAAATTTTTTCAAAGGCCAAACTTAGGAGACCTCAAAAATTCTTTCATATTCTTAAAAAAAAGATACTAGGGGACCCTAGAATTCTTTCAAACTCTTTAAAAAACAAAATCCAAGGAGCACCGAAAATCCTTTAAATCTTTAAAAAAGAAACTTGAGGAAACCTTAGATTTTTTCAAAGATTAAATACCATTTTTTCAATTTCTTTTTTCAAAGCTGGAGGATTTTTCAAAAACAAAATATCAGAAATGTCGTAGATTTTTTTTATTCTTTCAAAAATAAAACACAGGCAGTCTTCGAGATTCTTACACATTCTTAAAAAAAATACTAGGAAATCCTAGAATTCTTCTAAACTCTTTCAAAAAGAGAACCACACTTTTAAAGATAAAATATCAAGGGTCTGGTTTCAAATTCTTTCAAAAACAAAATATTAGACATCTCGTGGATTCTTTCCAATTTTTTCAAAAATAAAATACAAGGAATCTTTAACACGTTCTTAGAAGAAAAGACCCTAGGGGGACCCTAAGATTTTTTCAAATTCTTTCAAAACAAAATATCAAGAGTCACTAAGATCTTTTCAAATTTTTTCAAAGGCAAAACTTAAGGGATTTCAAAAATTCTTTCACATTCCTTAAAAAAAGATACTATGGAACCCTAAAATTCTTTCAAACTCTTTAACAAAATACAGAGAGCACCGAAGATCCTTTAAATCCTTAAAAAAGAAACTTGGGGAAACCTTAGATTTTTTCAAAGATAAAATACCAAAAAACTGGAGGATTTTTAATTTTTTTTCAAATACAAAATATTAGAAGCCTCGTGACTTTTTTTAATTCTTTCAAAAATAAAACACAGGCGGTCCCCAAGATTCTTCCACATTCTTAAAAAAAGTACTGGGGGACCCTAGAATCCTTCTAAACTCTTTCGAGAATAAAACACACAGTGCGCCGAAGATTCTTTTTAGATTCTTAAAAAAAAGACGTGGAGAATCCATAGATTCTTTTAAAAATAAAATATCATGTTTCAAAATCTTTCAAAAATAAAATATGTATTAGAAATCCCGTGGAATTTTCCCAATTTTTTTGAAAAGACAATACATGGATTTTTTAAAGGATTTTCACATTCTAAGAAGAAAAAACGCTAGAGGGACCCTAAGATTCTTTCAAACTGTTCCAATACAATACATCAAGAACCTCTAACAAGAGCCTCTAAGGTCTTTTCAAATTTTTTCAAAGGCCAAACTTGGAGACCTCAAAAATTCTTTCATACAAAGCTGGAGGATTTTTCAAAAGTAAAATATCAGAAATCTCGCAGATTTTTTTTATTCTTTCAAAAATAAAACACAGACAGTCTTCAAGATTCTTACACATTCTTAAAAAAATACTAGGGCATCCTAGAATTCTTCTAAACTCTTTCAAAAAGAAAACCACACTTTTAAAGATAAAATATCAAGGGCCTGGTTTAAAATTCTTTCAAAAACAAAATATTAGAAATCTCGTGGATTTTTTCCAATTTTTTCAAAAATAAAATACAAGGAATCTTTAACTCATTCTTAGAAGAAAAGACACTAGGGGGACCCTAAGATTCTTTCAAATTCTTTCAAAACAAAACATTAAGAGTCACTAAGATCTTTTCAAATTTTTTCAAAGGCAAAACTTAAGGGTTCTCAAAGATTCTTTCACATTCCTTAAAAAAAGATACTAGGGGACCCTAAAATTCTTTCAAATTCTTTAACAAAATACAGAGAGCACCGAAGATCCTTTAAATCCTTAAAAAAGAAACTTGAGGAAACCTTAGATTTTTTCAAAGATAAAATACCAAGAACCTGGAGGATTTTTTAAATTTTTTGAAAAATAAAATACAAAGATTAATTCAGGTTTTTTCACATTCTTAGCAGAAAAAACACTAGGGTTCTTTCAAACTCTTTCAAAACAAAACATCAAGAACCTCCAAAATCTTTTCAAATTCTATCAAAGACAGAACTAAAAGGATTTCACATATTCTTTCACATTCTTAGAAAATACTAGGGGAGCCTAGAATTCTTTCAAACTCTTAAAAAAAAAAAACACACGCAAGAGCACTAAAGATCCTTTAAATCCTTAAATAAAAGACTTCGAATATCACTTAGATTCTTTCAAAGACAAAATACCACGGGTCTAGAGCATTTATTCAAATTCTTTTAAAAACAAGATATTAGAAATCTTCTGGATTTTTCAAAATTCTTTCACATTCTTAGAAAACAGACAGTGGGGGTTAAGATTCTTTCAAATTCTTTTAAAACAAATAAACATCAAGAGCCTCCAAGATCTTTTCAAATTCTTTCAGATTCTATAAAAGAAAGATACTAGGGGGCGCTAGAATTCTTTCAAATTCATTAAAAAACAAAACACCATGAGCACCGAAGATTCTTTAAATCCTTAAAAAAAAACTTGGAGGAATGGTTGGATTCTTTCAAAGACATAATTCCAATAGCCTTTAGGATTTTTTCAAATTCTTTCAAAAATAAAAACAAGGGGTGCCAAGATTATTTCACACTCTTTAAAATAAAAAGATACTAGAATTCTTTTAAACTCTTTCTAAAAGAAAACATAAAAAATCTTTTAGATTCTTTTTAGAAAAGACGCGGGAGGAATCGTTAGATTCTTTCAAACATAAAATATTAAGGGCCTGGTATTTTTCGAATTCTTAAAAAGCCAACATTATTAGAAACCTTTTAAAAATCTTTCAAAAGCAAAATACAAAGTGTTTCAAAGATTATTTTTCATTTTTTAAAAAATACACCAGGAAACCCTAAAATTCTTTCAAATTCTATCACATTAAAAAAATGCTAGGAGACCCTAGAATTGATTCAAACTCTTTTAAAAAACAAAATCCAAGAAGCACCGAAGATCTTTTAAATGGTTAAAAAAGAAACTTGGGGAAACCTTAGATTTTTTCAAAGATAAAATACTAAGAACCTGGAGGTTTTTTAAAAAATTTTTTTAGAAACAAAATATTAGAAGCTTCGCATTTTTTTTTATTCTTTCAAAAACAAAACACAGGCAAGCGGTTTCCAAGATTCTTACAAATTCTTAAAAAAATATATACTAGACGACCCTAGAATTCTTTTAAATTCTTTCAAAAAGAAAACACAAGTGCGCCGAAGTATATTTTAGATTCTTAAAAAAAAAAGACATGGGGAATTCTTAGACTTTTTCAAAAATAGATATCAAAGGTCTGGGGATTTTTTCAAATTGTTTCAAAAACAAAATATATAACATATAACGCCTTTTTAAGGTTTTTTCACATTCTTGGAAGAAAAAACACTAGGGGGACTAAGACTCTTACAGACTATTTCAAAACAAAACATCAAGAGCCTTCAAGATCTTTTGAAATTCTTTCAAAGACAACTTAAAAGACCTCAGAAGAATTTTCAGACTCTAAACAACAAAGCACAAGGGCAACGAAGATCTTTTAAATCCTTAAGAAAAGACTCCGAGTAACCTTTAGATTCTTTCAAAGACAGAGTACCAAGGGCCTGGAGGATTTTTTTAAATTTATTTCAAAAACAAAATATTAGAAATCTTGTGTTTTTTTCCATTTTTTTTTTGAAACAAAACAAAAAGAATTTTTAAAGTTATTTCACATTCTTATAAAAAAGGACATGGGGGGGGGGCTAAAATTTCAAATTCATTTAAACACAGAACTTAAGGGACCTCAAAATTCTTTCAAACCCTTTAAATCTTAAAAAAAAAACTTGTAGGATTCGTTAGATTCTTTCAAAAATACATTATTAGGACCTTGTGAATTTTTTCTGATTCATTCAAAAACAAAAATAATGGATCTCCAAGATTATTTGACATTTTTTAAAAAAGGATACTAGGGGACCCTGGAATTTTTTTAAACCCTTTCGAAAAGAAAACACATGATGCGCCGAAAAATCTTTTAGATTCTTTTTTTAAAAAATGGGGGGAATCGTTAGATTCTTTCAAAGATAAAATCTCTAGGGTCCGGGATTTTTCGAAATCTTAAAAAAACAAATTATTAGAAACCTCGCGGATTTTTTAAAATTCTTTGAAAAGCAAAATACAAGGAGTTTCAAGATTATTTTACATTTTTAAAAAAAGACACTACTTTCAAGTTCTTTCAAAAAAAAACATAAAGAGCACCGAAGATCCTTTTACATCCTTAAAAAACACAGGAGAACCCCAAGTTCCAAAAACAGAATTCCGGTGGCCTGGAGAATATTTTTTTTACTTTCAGAAACAAAAATCAAGAGGTCCACAAGATTATTTCACATTCTTAAAAAACACACATTAGAGGACCCTAGATTTTATTAGATTCCTTTAAAAATAAGACACGGGGAATTCGGGGGCCTGATTAATACCAGAAACCCCGAGATTCTTCCAAACTCTTTCAAAAATGAAATCTAGGAGCATCGTGGATTTTTTCTAATTCTTTTAAAAGGAAAACACAAAAGATCTACAAGATTCTTTCACATTTTTAGAAAAAAAAAAAAAAAACGGGAGCCCCTACGATTTTTTCAAATCCTTTCAAACACAAAACACACCAGTGACCGAAAATCTTTTTACATTCTTTAAAAAAACACACGCGGGACTCGTAAGAATCGTCATAGACAAAATACCAAGGGCCTGGAGGATTTTTTTTCAAATTCTTTCAAAACCGATCTATTAGAGCCTTGTGATTTTTTCTAATTCTTTCACAAACAAAGCACTAAAGGACTTTATGATTCTTTCAAAAACAACATCTTTAGCATTAAAGATCTTTTGCAATTCTTTCAAAGACAAAATAGAAAGGACCTCGAAGATTCTTTCACATTGTTTAAAACAAAGCCAAGAGCGAATTTTTAAATGCATTCAGATTCTTCCAAAAACAAAATACTGGTATCCCGGGGATGATTCTTAAAAATAAAAATAATTCACAATCTGTAAAAATTGGTCTAAATCAATTAAACATGAAATTTGATTCCTCGAATTTCATTTTGTGTTATGACAACCCCTATAAGTTTAATAAAATTAGCGGTGGATTGTTAAACTATAGGTAAAAGTTTTACTATTATTATCAAATATACTGGATTAATTTTGGGTAGGAACAGTGTAATTCTTCGTTCAAAATTATATAAAAGTATTAAAATTGTTATCGTCGTGACAACCATATGCACTCGAACTGATATGATAATTGATAACAAATGATAACGTGACACTGACAACAATAAAAAAACTATTTTGAAACAATAAATGAATAAATGAAAACGATTGTGGTAAAGTATGTATTAGTAATTACACAGAAAAAATAAAATCTGACTACGAACAGAAAAAGCGAACGAAGGATAAAACTTATTATCACATTGTTTTCTCAGAAGAGATACCAACATAGTTGGCGAAGAGCGTCAAGTGGTAAATGTGATCATCACTGACTACATTAAAACCCGAAAACTAATAAGCAAAAAAAAGTGATTTGAATTTCCAACGAGAGTTGGTTAAATCAACCCCAACGAAAACTCGCCGAAAGAAAAGTTAACCAAATTGATAAACTTGAACTCACCTTTCCATTTCCCGAGTTCCTCGGTTCGTGCAAAGTAACCGCCGACAGGATCAAAACGCCCGCCAAATACAAAAACAACAATATTGCCAAGATCCAATATCTAACTCTAGTGACATGCATTTGTCCATCATCTAATTGGAAGTGTACGAGTTATTGTTCGGCGCGTATTTGAAAAAATCCATCCGAATTAAAACATCCTAAAAACGTATTGCTTGGAATTTTCGTCGTTTTCGCCCAGAGTAATACTGCGTTTGCTGGAAGCCTGAAAATCACCAATCACTCACCACTCGACACACTAAAGTAGGCAAATACCACAGATAAAACCTTCTAATAAATCAGAGATTATCTAAACAACTATCGATTTATCTGCAATTTTATCGCCACTCACCAGAGATTTTCGTCGGTGGTCCATTGCGGATTCATAATCCGACTGGGAAGGGTTTAATTGTCATGTTGTTTTTTTACGGCTAGAGGGATTCGGTTTTTGACTACATAACTGCGTGCTTGCAGACAAGTGTACGCTGTGTTGGTCGTAACGTTAATAGGGCGTCGTCAAAGCTAGTTTGCGTCCCAGGCGTCGACCAGTGACTCTCAAAATGTGGCTACTGGAATGCGGAGTGTGGAGAAATGGACAGCCACGTGGCGAATGACAGCTAAATAACTAAAACAGGAGATAAAAGTGTGCAAATTGATTACCTTGTCGGGTATTATTGTCAAGGATAAGTGTTTTTATGGTTTATGGCGAATTAAATGCATGGCCGGGCCCAATTAGCTTTGTGTAACGCTGGTATGAATGGAGGGGTTTTTATGGTGGTTATTAAATGAGGTTTATAATCATGGTTTCATTAAATAACCAAAACGATAATCAGAATTGGTTTAAAGTGGCGTCGACGGAACTTATGTTGTCTCTGAAGCATAACCAATGCATTAAAGCAAATTTGGTTTATCTGTATACCGCGTTTATCGAATAGATGGAATTAGAAGTGGGGGATCTTCATTCATTAATTTTTTTGAGCCGTCATTATCTCCTATACTAAACTGCGCCACGGAGACGTACAAACCGTGTCGGGAACGTTATTATACCTTGCAAATGTTTTTGCGAAAATTTGAACGTTTAGGGAAAAAACTGAAAATTATTATTTATTATATTTTTGTGTAACATTGAAATCATTTTCGAATATCATTCATCGAAATAACGTCCCCAAATTGTTTATGGGGATGATTAGCATTTCATTTAACCATCTACATGACATTTCTAATATGCATACAAAATTTGACAAAAATCGGTCCAGCAGTTTCCGAGATTACGTGTCTTTTTTACATAATTCAGTACACAGAGCAACAAGTATATAGGAAATTTACATTGAGATTGTTAATTAGCCATTAACTACCATGTTAGTTATAATATTTTTTCGATGATCGAAATCTTTAATGATTAGAAAATAGACATTAAATTATGCAACTAAATATACACTGTTGTCATTCCATTTGTTCCACTCTCATTTCAAAGGCCGAGATTGACACACTTTTTTATTCTACGGTAAATAAAGTAGAATAACGAAAAAACAAACTTTGTCTTAAGGAATTAGGACAAACAGAGGATAAATACAGTGGTGTCCCTATTTAAAAATTAAATTTCTTCCTTGCAATAACGTCGGTAATCACGCATGTAACAGCCAATTTTTGTAATGTATTTTACTAAAAAACTAAAATTGATAGCCCTAAATTATAACAAAATTGTTACTTCGAAACATGAATTTTCTTCTACCACGATTTATTAACACTTGGCTGGAGGATTTTCATCCCTACCAACAGTTCGATGACGTCACCTCAAAATTTTGCTATTTAAATTTTATAAAATAACATACTCCTGTATTTGTGATTATTTATCTTAGGCATCCAGATTTTTGCAAAAAAGAATCCAAATTGTTAAATAATAGTATAAACCGCGAAAGCAGGGAGCCGTTTTTTTTCTTACACTATGACTGATGTTGTCTAACGTAGAGGGGTTATCATAAAATAAATAAAATTTTGGAAAAACATTTTTTTATCTTGATAAAGGTAAATATGTACCCATAACTCGGGTTTTTTGTAGGAATTACAAAACTGTTAAACATATTGCCGATATTATTGTTGTTACTATTATTAGCTTCTTGCGATAAGTAAATATCGTCGTCATAAGTATTTTGTTTATAAGTTATTGTCCCGATAAGCATGTACGATGACACAAATCAAAAAAAGCAAACAATGGAAATAATTTATAATTAAAATTATAACCAACTAACGGTAAAAAATTGTTTTCTTTTTGTTTTTTTTTTGTTATTCCGAAAATGAGCTCTTATTAGTGTTTTTTACCTAGAAAAAGTTGCAAAAAGAATGGACGAACACGCAGCCACTATTTCCACAACACATAACCACACACGTGATTTACGTAATTGAACAAAAAAAGTGATATACTAAGTATTTAAATATATGATAAAATTGATAAGCCAAGTATGAAATAACTTGTTCATGAAAATTTAGAATAATTTTGAACATACCACCGATGAATTGCGGATAAAAAATAACTAGCTGCATGAAAGCGCTTCCCGTGGACTTTAAATGCACGTGCGGAATAATAATCTGTTGTTGTGTTGTTAGTGATGGTTCAGGACCTTCGAAATATCGCCATATGCTCATAATTTGAGATAAAAGTTAGATGGAACAGACTTCTGATTCATTCGACTTTAATATTATATGAATAAATTTATAATATACAGACACCGCTGTACAAATCTAAAGAAAAAAATTCGGGGATATATAGGAGGGATTTTTTGGGACGTCTAAACGAGGAAGTGCATAAAGCTAATAATTTTATGACTTTTTAGTTTAATGTTTAAATTAAGAAAATATTCGTTCGTATTTATATATTATACAGGGGTTTAACCACAATAAATTTGTTTAATGAATTAGTTTTATTTTGTATGTTGTTGAAGTTATACAGATGAGAGGCGGCACGTTCCCATGACCTACTTCAACCCTATAATCATTTATAGAAACCCTGTATTATATAGCAGTTTAGTACAAAATTTAATAAAAACAACCTGGTGACCACTATTAACCAAAACTAGTAACCCCGAAGAAAAAAATTATAATTCATACGTTTTGCATAAGCAATTCTAAAAAATATGAATGCATTGACAAACCACAAATATATACTGTGGTAACTAAACATTCCGCCAAAATTTAGACACGTGCACAAAATTTAAAAAATTAACATTTCAAAATCAATAAACAAAAAGTAGACTCACTTGAAATAATAATTGGTTAATGAAGTTGCCATCCTGACCTAGTCTGTCTGCCATTATTTCGCAAGACTGTAAAGAGAAACACAAAATAAGTACACGTGTTCATTGTTTCCCGAGAGTTTCTTTATTTTTCTAATAATAAAACTTTGAAAGAATATAATAGTCGCAGTTTCAGGCTAGATTTTAATATAGTGCTTGGAATTTTTCATCTGTCCATGTTTATAATGGAACTCAACTTTGTGTGATGGAGAGTAAGGGATTTGAATATAGAACAGGTAAAATTTCTTACTTCTTGTTTTGGTGCGTTACGTTGTAGCCATGTGTTGAAACCTCTCACGATTTAGTAGCAATGATGCAAATGTAAATGTGGAAACACGCTTGACAGAAATTCATTTGTTCAGGCTTAACTTATTTTAATAACGATATCTAAATCTTTCGATGATTTTCCCTAAGTTATTATACACATTTCATAATTTCTCACTCGAGTTTTTAAAATAGTATGTTGATAGAACTTAAAAGTAACTTTAAATAATGATGCACTGTCAAAATAATGATCATTGAAAATTAATATCTTCGTGAATTAAGCTGGCGTTCGAAATGCAGTGAGTGTTTTTTCAAAACTAACCATAAAATATTCTTAAGTGTTCACGTAGGAATATAACATCTAGATGAAGAAAAAATTGAATGGTATGAATGTGAAAATTGCCCATACAAGTTAAACTGGCTTCGCATTTAAGAAATTGTGTAATTTTTCAACATTTGAATGAAGAAAAAGTTAAGTGGTTCGAACGTACCAACTGTCCATATAAAAGTAAAGCAAAAACTAATTTGAGAAGGCATGTAAAATCCATTTGGAGATCAAATTATATCAGTGCGACTATTGTTCATATAAAACGAAACACTGTGATCTATTCAGCGACATATGAATAAGCACCATGTGGATGGAAAGGATATTCAGGAGGACGAATGCCAACACTGTCGTTACAAAGTTGAATGTAGTAATACATATATGGTTTGTTTAGCCAGTATTTTTTTTATCATTTGTGTCAGCAATCTATGATGTGCTATATGTTGTGACTATCGTTTTATTGAGATTTAAGATAAAAATAATCAAATGTTTAATTTTTTACATTACATACATTAAATAAATATATAACGCGATTATGAAATAAAGCCAATAATAATATACCAGACATAAGGTTCAAAAATTACATAATAATAATAATAATAATAATAATAATAATAATTTTATTGTCCAACAGGTTACCCTAATGACAGGACAAATCTAAGTAATTACTTACATGAATAAACAAACACAAAAATTATAACAATAATAAAAACATAATTCCAAGTATAAACTAATTTGAATAAAATATATCAGCTACATATCTATCTGCACATCGACACACTGTAGTAATTGGCGAACGACGAAGGATATTAGTTCGGGCGGTGGAGATATGAAAGGCGTTAACATATCTCGATGCTGGCCGAGGGACATTAAATCTAATCTGTGATAATAAATATGGGCAATCAATTTTGTTGTGAATAAGCTTACACAAGAAGTTATCCGCATGCAGATCCCTTAGAACCATCAAAGAGGACATCTTGTGTCGTTGGAGAAGACTTTCCATCTCAATACCTCTGGCCGGATAATTACTATCAATTTTGAAGGAAAGGAATTTCAAAAATTTCCTGTGCACTTTATCAAAAAGCATGTGCCGACACAAATATATGGGATACCATATTAGTGAGGCATACTCTAATTTCGAAAGAACATATGCAAAGAAGAGGGATTTAATTACGTCAATGTTGTTGAAAAATTTTTAAGTCCTCATGACAAACCCCAAAGATTTATTTGCAGCATTGCAAATGTTGGTAAGATGAATATCAAAAGTCAAGCAGCTATCAAAAGTAACTCCTAGATCTTTGATCGATGTTTTTCGTTCTAACGGTGTACCTTCTATTGAATAAGAAAAATCAACGATACTAAGTTTTCGACAATATGAAATGTAGCTACATTTACTAATATTAATAATAAGTCTATTTTGATTGCACCATTCCACGATTTTCATAAGTTCACGTTGTAAAAGCTCAACATCAAAAAGACTTGAGATTTTAGAATACATTTTCAGATCATCAGCATAAGCTAAAATACTGCAATTTAAAGATTCCAAAAGGTCATTGATAAATAGACTGAAGAGGAGAGGCCCAAGGTTAGAGCCTTGTGGGACTCCAGACCTTGACAAAAAACGAAAAGAGGTAAAACCATTGTAAAATACATAGTTGTTACGGTTTATTAAGTAAAATTCCATCAGTTTGAGAAGGAGATAGTTAAATCCAAAGTTATTAAGTTTGCCTAACACAATGTCCTGAGTAAGAACATCAAAAGCTCGAGAAATGTCAGTATATATTTCGTCTATTTGTTCTCGTTTATCAAGTGCAACACTTAGATCTTGAACAAGCACTGCAAGGTTTGTAGATGTAGATCTACCAGTTCTGAATCCATGCTGTCCTAAACTGATATGCGAACGAGTATTATTGTAAATGCAACTATATAATGCATGTTCAAAAACTTTGGCAAAATTGCTTAGAATGGAAATAGGATGATAGTTCGCTAGTAAAGATGGATCACCCTTTTTAAAAATAGGACTGATTCTTGCAATTTTCCAAAGGTCCGGGAATGTACTTGTTTTAAGTGCCTTCTTAATTATTATGGACAAAGGTTGGGCAAGTGCATATCTACAGTCACGTATCAAAAAACTAGGGACTAAGTCATCACCGCATGTTTGTTTGTTGGATAAATTTGACATGATCAGAATTAAATCCTCTATGCTGACGGAAGACATTGAGAAAGAATTTGAAGAAATAGAAGTAGACTCTATGTGCGTAGAGTTGTTAACAGTAAATACATTGGTAAAGGTAGTAGCAAATGCATCCACAATATCCTGAGGTTCCGAAAATATATTTCCATTGTTGTCTCTTAACTGACCCGGTATTCTAGAAGTGTCATTTTTCAAATGTAGAAAGCTCCATAAAGATGAAGGATCAGATTTGATATTGCTCTGGACATGATTTAGATACAGTTGGTAGGCATTATCCATTTGTTTTTTAACAACAGCTCTTAATCGTTTGAATTCGATATAGAATTTAGAAACCTTAAATTTAATCCATTTACGCCTGTAACAGTCTTTTGTTTTTATATTCTGCTTAATCTCAGAAGTAATCCAAGGTGGAAATTTCGAAGAGCTAGAGGTTATACGTGGAACAGATGTATCAAATAACTTATAAAGACAAAAATAAAAACCCCCAAGAGCAATATTTACATCTTCCTGACTTTCTAAAAAAGACCAATCCGCGTTGTTGATGTCATGATATAATTTTAAAAACTTGACCTTGCGAAAGTTATAGCGAAGTTTATTTGCTAACGGAAACTTAGAAGTGATACTAGGCATAGCAAAATTAAAGTTTAGATGGAGACCGGGGTGATGCTTATCTTCAGATATTAAAGGTGGTGTGCAGTGGGAAACTAGGGCTGTAGTATTTGGATTGGAAAAAATTAGGTCCAGCAATCTGTTATTAATATTAAGGATCGAATTAAATTGTGATCGTTGAACAACGTTGCAGAAGTGCTTGAGAATTAAACTTTTATGGTAGTTACTATGGCTATTACTTGAAAAACTAGGAACATTGAAATCTCCAATGATTATCAAATGTTCATGCATTACCATGACTCCTAAGGCATTAAAAAATCATTCAAAATCATGAACAGAAATATCGAGTGGAACATATAAAACAACAAATAAGAAAATCATATTTTCGTAAGAGCATTTACAAATGATTACGTCAATGAGCGGTACCAAATCAGTAAGATGTTTGGTATTTATTACCGTATATTTGAATTTATTTGAGAATGCAACTAATACTCCACTTCGTCTAGAGGGACGAACCAATGAAAATTTTGTATCACAACGAATGACACTATAATAAGAAGGAAATATTTCAGAAGTGAGAATGGAATCATGTAACCAAGTTTCACTAATTGCGATAATGTCAAAAGACAGATCGCAACAACTGACTTAAAAAGATGCGATTTGGAAGCAAGTCCACGAACATTTTGGTAATACAGACTTAGTGTTGAATACCTGCTGGACTGATCTAGTTTTCCGACAAGTTTGCAATAATAGTAGGTATGCCATTACGATATTGAATTTTCAGATTTTTTTCACCCTGAGCCAAACGATTGTCAAGTGCTGCCCTTACCGATTTATATGCATTAATTTGCATGGGAGTACGATCCATTGAGATGTGAATGTGGGACCATTTATCCATTGATTTTAAAGTTTTAAAGTTTTTGATCATACTTGAAACATCTTCAGGACTGGACAATGTAACTTTAATGGAACGCGCTCTGTTGACATTTGTTGCATCAACTTTACCAAGACGAACCGGTGGAACAGTTGGCAAGTTAAGTTTTGATTCAGATATAAAATCATTGACAAGAGAACGATCAGCAACATTTTGTTCTTGTTTTGAGATACCGTTAGATTCTTTAACGTTGAAGATAATTATGTTGCATTCACGTTTTTACATGACTTCATAACGAGACAGTAAAGGGAAAAACGGAATGAGCACACCTGTTCATTGTTTCCTTGTTGATCGTCCACGTTTATTGTTGTTATCCATAAGAATTAAAAAATTTAAACTCGAAGCCACGAAAAGTGTAAAATTAAGAAATTACAAAAAAATTATCGAAAACAAAAAATGGGGCCGTGGAAAAATCGGTGAAATTAGAAAACTGAGAAATCTTAAAATCGAAATACTGAAGAATATTTAAAAAACCAAAAATCGATGTCAGTTAGAATACATGTTTAGAACATTCAAACTACCGCCAATTTGAACTGCACCAATGTGCTTTGTTGTGATTGGTCGACACGATTGTGGAAATTAAAGTAATCTAGTTGAATTGGGAGTTTTAATTTGTGTGGTTATGTTCGTTCAAATTGCACGTGTGTAAAGAAATTTTTAATCCTTTCCGGTTTTAACTGTGCTTCAACGGGATTTAGGTAAGAAAAATTCCATTGTTATTCCACAGTGTGACAACACGGTTTTAGGTGTCCAAAATATCAACTTTGAAATACCATGACTGAAGTAATCACAACAGCTGGGAAGTCTTCACAGAAACACGTACGCCTGTAAACTGTGCCCTTATTTTTTAACTTCCCTTTTCCGTATGGCAAACCATATCAGACGACAGTGATTTCCCCAGGAAACATTTACTTGTGACATTGATTAAATACATACATGTATTTAATCAATGCTTGTGATAGGCTAAGATGGAAGGTTATCATCACTGTAAAGATTGTGATTTTAAGACGGAACTGACAGTTGTGTTTGAACAACACATTAATCAACATCACGGCCCTAAGAGAGAATCTAGTGAGGAGATATCTAGTGACGATTCCAGCAAAGAAAACTACGGTTCCGTAAAATTTTCCTTTGAGCCAAATCTGTCGTTGAAGTCGTTTCAGCATACTTCAGTATGCACGGAAACGAAAGAAAGTTCTCAAAGTATGAGTTCTTTGCAAGAGAGCGCCACATGCAGTTCCGACTTCAAGCAAACTGAGGAAGTATATCGGTATTATTGCCCCAAATGTACCTACAAATGTAAAGTTAAAAGAAATTTAACTCGTCACATTCGAGTTTTACATTCGCACAGGTGGTATGCATGCGACAAGTGTCCATTTAAAACTAAATGGCAAGCAAATCTAAAAGTCCACATAAATACAATTCACATAGATGAACATGAAGGTAAATGGTACAAGTGCCAAAAATGTGAATTCAGGACCAGAACAAAGGCTACTTTAACAAACCATATAAATAGCTTACACGAGGACGTTAAATGGTACAAATGCAAAGAGTGTTCTCACAAAACTAAACATAAAATACTTTTACAAAGGCACGTTTTAGTCAAGCATAGATATCTAAACAAGCGAGATATTTAAAAAGTCATTTGATTTATATGTATTGTATCCGTGTGATTATTGCTGATATAACGCAGTGAGTATTTAAAGCGTCATATAAGCAAATAACCATTTGGATGGAACTAAAGTTAAATGGTACCAACTGCCCTTACAAGAATTAAAAGAGGATCATCATTTTATGAACAGGAAAAACACGTGTGGGATTTAGTTGAGTTTTAGTTGGATAGTAGTTGGTGAATGTATATAGATCTATTGTTTGTTAGTTCGTCTTTTCTAGCATTTGTAACAGACTGTGTTATGTGTTATATTTTGTGACCAATTTTTTCTTAAGATTATGATCAGTAACATTTTAAATGTTTATTTTTTACAGTACATACATTAAATAATGTGGTGTCCCAATTTAAAATAAAAGTTCGCGCCGAGAAAAAAACAGCGACCCGAAACCGCTTTCGAATAATTTGAATTTAAAAAATGAATAAAAAAAAATCGTTAAACATTGGCAACCATGTGCAACTTTAGTTTCTTTGCTGGTAGTTTAGTAGGTGTGTGGTCTTATATGATACCGAAGAAATACGCAACTTTATTCAAAAGAAATTGGTGATATTTTAAATTGTGAAAAGTCTAAAGGGATAGATGGTTTTTCCTAACTTAAAAATATTGTTAAAATTTAATAGATTCTCATTTGGAAATTCTCTAATAGTAATTGGGATTATTCACGATTTAATTATAAACAGTGATCCCTTTGAACATTAGCAGTGGAGTAAATTTAGTTGAATACAGTGGGCATAGCGGGCGCTTGCGAGGGCATGGTTGTACGTAGCTGTGTTAAGTTTGAAGAGACAGTCAAAGGCCGGATCTAGAAACATTAGCGCTAGACGTTCCACATCACCTCAATTGTTGAATTAAATCGTGTTCTTTTTCTTCTGATTCCAAAATAATTTTACGACTTTTCTTTTTACTCCTTGAGCGTAAGCAAAGAAAGTATTGTAAGCTACTTTTATGCTTTCTCCATATTTCATGACCAACAGAATATGAAAAAGGTCTCTTGGTTCAGTCTGCCTGCCGTCTGTCCAGATTTTTATTAGCCAGATAATCTCTAAAACTATGTCAGTCATTAAACAATAAGTGATATGTGGTAGTGAAAAAAAAAAAAAACTATAGGATATCGAAATGAATTTATCTGATGACATTTATCTTCTTGGGCGGGCACTGGTATTACTTATCTATAGTTATTTTAACGTAAAGAGTTTATCACGAATACAAATTCGCAAATCAAAACAAATTCAAAGAAGGGGGATGTAGTACACTGCACTTCGGGGGAGAGAAAAATCCTGTGGAAATGACTTGTGTGCCAATCTGTTTTCCCTCCGTCTGCGATTTTATGAGACAGATAATCCTCAAAACTGCTGTATCGATTATTGTAAATTTAAGGTATATTTTAGAAATATCGTGTTCATATTAACATGGTAGATCATTATTATTAAATTATATGTTCATCCTCTTGTGGTGTCCCGATTTTAAAAGTTCAATTTAGTGCAAAAAAAAAACAACGCCACGAAATCGCTTTGAAAAAGAAAAACTCAGTAACGTAGGCAATAAATTATCCATGTTTCAGTGCGTTTGGGGGAATAAAAAAGTTTACCTTTTGGATGCTAATTCTAGTCAATTTTTTATAAGACAGCGCAAGTAGAATTGTATTAAGAGTTGACTCGTTTCCTGTTTTGTCGCATTGTCGCATTATTTATTCTTTGTTGTGAGTGAAACCACGTACTAAAGTTGGTACGTAATTGTTTACAGTTTAGTCCCTAGAAATACATAGTATCGTCATCCATTGTTGAACGAGTGGAGCATATGCAGTTGGTAACCAGTGCTGGGGACAGATACTTTTAAAAGTATCTAGATACTGATATAGATATATGGAAGATAAATGTATCTAGATACAGATACAAGAAAACAAATACTTGTTGAAGCTTTGGCGAATACAGTAACTGAAAACATGTTTTTGTATTTCTTTATGTATTGTTTAATGATTTTTTTAAAATTAACAACATTTCGAACGTATTGTCACCAAAATTATTTCTTCTTGGTGTCAGAATTTAGTTTCCGCTACTAAACACCCGTTCCACAGGTGCAGAAGAAGGGATTGTGGTATTAAATCTAAAAAATAAACATTTTACTGTAGCATAGTTATTCAAGACTGAAAACTATTTTCTTTTTTCCTGCAAATAGGCCATCGCTTCGCTGTTTGATGTGTCGCAAATTGTGCAATATTTTTTACGTACGCTTAAAAAGAATATATATATATTTTTAATTCCCATACTACATTGTCCAAATTGTGTTTGAGTATATAATTTATAAGAATACGGGAAATGATTATTCTGTGCTGAAGGTCTGTTGTCGGCAACCTGGTGTTATTATTCTTCAATATCGGCTTACGATGTTTTTATGACCATGTCCGGTAATCGTCTATCCCGGTGCGGCAGGTATATACATTTTAGAAAGAATTGCTGGTTCCGTTTAAGGCAAGATAAGTACAATTTCTTAGAAAGGTATTTAAACCCCTTATAGGATCAAAGGCTACCTGGTAGGCCGGAATGACCAGAGTGCAACTTTAAATTTTCAGATTTTTGTTGAAACTCATTTTATTTTAATCTCGTTTCACGATTTCTGAGAATATATCACGATAAATTATACTACCGTGGGTTGTAAAAAATTAATTTTATTGCCCAAGATTTACACTTAAACATAATCGGCACATTCTAGGGCAAAACGGACCTGCCAAGCCCGCCTCGCGTTAGGTCCAACAATGAAAAAGTGAAGAAATGACACATGTGGCAACAGGAAAAGATGCTACATTTGTCTGAAAAATAAAGGTATAAAACAATTACAAATATGCGATTTATGGGAGAGAAATGTATGTATTGAATATTCGATTAGTCGATTACAGAACTAATTTGTGCTAATTTGAATTTGACGCCAATGTGTTTTGTTGTGATTGGTCGGCACGATTGCAGAAATTAATGTAATCTAGTTGCATTGGGGATTTTAATCTGTGCGGTTATGTTCGTTCTAGTTATACGTGAATAAAGAAATATTTAATTCTTTCCGGTTTTAACTGTGCTCCAACGAGCTTTGGGTAAGGAAAATGCCAGTTTTCTTCCACACTGTGATAAACCGCTCTTAGGTGGCCACAATATCTGCTTTGGAAAATTGTGAAGCGATCGCAACAGGTGGGATGTCTGCATGGAAAAACGCACACACCTGTAAACTATGCCCTTATTCTTCAACTTCGCTTTTCAGTATGGCGAACCACGTGAGACGACACTGTTTCCCCTCTGAGACATTTACTTGTGACATTGCAAAAATTGAAGCTTTTTACTGTAAACACTGTGATTTTAAGACTGAACTAACAATTCTATTTAAACAACACATTAAACAACAACACGGCCTTAAGAGAGACTCTAGAAAGGATATATCTGTCCAGAATTTCCAGATACAAAACTACGTTTGCAAACAATGCGACTTTGAAACAAATCTGTCGTTGAAGTGCCTTCAGCATACTTCAGTATGCACAGGTACGAAAAAAAATCTTCAAAGCGTGAGTTCTTTGAAAGAGAGTGCCACATGCAGTTCCGACTTCAAGCAAACTGACAAAACACACTGGCATTACTGCGCTGAATGTCCCTACAAAAGCAAACTCAAAATATATTTAAAACGTCACATTAAAAATAGCCATTCGGACAAACGGTACGCATGCGACAAGTGTCCGTTTAAAAGTAGACGTAAATCCGATTTAAAAATTCACATTAATAGAATTCACTTAGATGAACAAGATATTAAATGGTACAAGTGCCAAAAATGTCCATTCAAGACCAAAGCAAAATATAGTTTAAGACTACACACAAACAGCTTACATTTGAACGACGAAGACGTTAAGTGGTACAAATGCAAAAAGTGTAGTTTCAAAACTAAGTATAAAAGATACATAAAGGTACACCTAGGTGCGAAACATCCAGATGAAGAAGAAATTAAATGGTACGAATGTGAAATTTGCCCATTCAAAGCCAAATTGCCGTCGTACTTAAAAAAACATGTAATTTATCGACATTTGGATGAAAAAGAATGTAAGTGGTACGAATGTACGACCTGTTCATATAAAAGTAGAAGAAGGACTAATTTTAGAAGGCATGTGAAGATCCATTTGAAGATCAAATCGTATCAGTGCGACTACTGTTCATATAAGACGCAATACAGCAAATGTTTAATGCGTCATATAAATAATCGTCATGAGAATAGAACGGATGTTAAGGAGTAAGGCTTTTAATAACTTTAATGTATATTCGTAAATTTTTGTTTACCCAATAATTTGTTTTTCGTTTGTGCAGCATTGTATGATGTGTTACATTTTGTGACTATATTTTCGTTTAGATTTTGAAAAGAAAAATCAAATGATTATTTTTGTGTTTTATGCACAGTAAATAAATAAACGCTTTAAAAAAATAAAGCACATAAGAGGCATAATGTAAGGTTTAATACACGACGTCACAACAAGTCGTGAGCTGAAAAACCCAATGAGCACACCTGTTCGTTGTGCCCCTGTTGACCTTCCACGTTTATTGTTGTCATTGATCGATCAATTTTGAATAACTTATCAGCTTGTTTCTTTGATTGACGATCAAATTACCATCTTAGATTTTGTTCGTATTTAAGGAAAATGATCAGGTTATCTGGAACAGTAAAATTATAAATTTGTATACGTTTTAAACTGATAGGTACTTTTTTCATATTCATTTTAAATGTTATTAAAAAACAACATGCATAGTCGATAAAAAGTATGGAAGCACTTGAATATCACGAGAACGGTTTGCTGAATCTTTTTGAAATTTGGGCTATCCCTAGGAACACTCAAGTTCTATTTTCTGCATTTTTTTCGAATTTTATACTTCATTTATATTTGAGATGCAGGGCTAATTTGATTTTTTTTAAATAGCACTAGTAGTCAAATATTCCGTTATTAAATAGTACATTTTTTATGAAATCAGAAATGTGGCGCATGCATTATTTTATTTTTTCCCAACATGGTAAAATAAATTGTCAAAATAAAAATAATGAAAATCAGAAAATCATAGCTAACCTTGACAATACTATCACCTGTCATAGTCTTGGCGTGGGACACTTTATTCAAAAATTATACTAGTGCCCAATGATTGTAAAAATGTTAGAACCGAGGGAACATAAACTAAAATAAAGGTAGAAATAATAATAATTTACAAAATATTCTACAAATAACAATACTCCGATTTAATGATTCTAAATAATGAATACATTTTTGAAAAATTTAAATAAAAAATTACATTATTGAAAAAAGATCAAATTAACATTTCAAAATCAATAATTTTACAAGAAATGTTCTGCTGGCAGTAGTAAATACGTTACACAAAGTTTTCAAATGAATGTCTTAGATAAAAGGAGGAATATTAGTAATAACATTCGATATTTTTTCTTAGAGTTCTTCGATTCCATGTGGTCTATTACATAAACTCGATTTTTTACCCACAAGAAAAAGTCAAGTGGCGTTAAATCGAGTGACCTAGCTGGCCACTTAACTACTCCCCTTCGTCCTATCCACCTTCCAGGAAAAGCTTCATTCAAGTAATGCCGTACTTGACATCCAAAGTGAGGTGGTGCTAAATCTTGTTGGAACCAGATGGTCTCTGCTAGTAAATTTGGGTTTTCATAGTTGGGAAATATTTGTCTATGCTGAGGAACAATACTTTGTTGCGAAAGTCGTGGGTATTTGTCGGACGTTAAATTTCCGTTAATGAAGAAGAAGCCTACAATGTGGCGACCAATAATGCCGCACCAAACATTAATTTTTTGAGGGTACGGTGTATGAAGCTCGTCCATCCAGTGCGGATTTGTATTCCACCAGTATCTACTATTATGGTGGTTAACATGCCCATTCCAACTAAAAGTAGGCTCACCAGAAAATAATAATTGGTTAATGAAGTTGCTATCCTGACCTAGTCTGTCTGCCATTATTTCGCAAGACTGTAAAGAGAAACACAAAATAAGTACACGTGTTCATTGTTTCCCGAGAGTTTCTTTATTTTTCTAATAATAAAATTTTGAAAGAATATAATAGACGCTGTTTCAGGCCAAATTTTAATATAGTGCTTGGAATTTTTCACCTGTCCATGTTTATAATGGAACTCAACTTTGTGTGATGGAGAGTAAGGGATTGAAATATAGGACAGGTAAAATTTGTTTTGGTGCGTTAGGTTGTAGCCATGTGTCGAAAACTCTCACGATTTAGTAGCAATGATGCAAAGGTTAATGTGGAAACACACTTGACAGAAATTCATTTATACAAGCTTAACTTATTTTAATAACGATATCTAATTTTTTGATGATTTTCCCTAAGTTATTATACACATTTCATAATTTCTTACTCGAGTTTTTAAAACAGTATGTTGATAGAACTTAAAAGTAACTTTAAATATCGATGCACTTTGAAAATAATGATCTTTGAGAATTAATATCTTCGTGAATTAAGCATTTAATACGTGTTCGAAAAAATTTTAAGTTGAAAACTCAAAAAACTATAAATCAGAAAATTGAAAATGCTTCAAAAATTAAAAAATAGGTTCCAAAAAATTGAATTTTCGTTACTTTGCATTAACGCCAATCTGCTTTGTCGGGAGCGGGGAAATTAACGAGAAATCAAACGAAATTTAAAAAATAGGACTTTGATAGGACTTAACTGAAACTGAAATGAACGAATCATGAAAATAGTTATCTCTTTCGGTTCAAGTCTTTTTATTTTATTAGTTTTTAATTTTTGTATCGGGAAAATAAAAAAACTGAGAAACATCAAATGTAAAATCTAAAGAATATTAGAAAAAAAAAACAAAAATCGGCGCCAATTAGAAAACCCGCTATTTGATTTTGAGGAAATTTAAATTCGACGCTAATGTGCTTTGTTGTGATTGGTTAGCACGGATGCGGAAATTAATGCAATCTATTTGGACTGATGTTTTTAATTTGTGAGGAGGTTATGTTCGGTCGAATTGCACGTGTGTAAAGAAATATTTAATCCTTTCCGGTTTTAACTGTGGTCCAACGGTATTTAGGTAAGAAAAATTCCAGTGATCTTCCATAGTAGGTCTGACAAAACGGTTTTAGGTGTCCAAAGTATCAACTTTAAAATACTATGAATTAAGTAATCACAACAGCTGGGAGGTCTTCATGGAAAAACGTACGTACCTGTAAACTGTGGCCTTATTTTTCAACTTCGCTTTTCCTTATGGCGAACCACATCAAACGACAGTGATTCCCTCAGAAAACATTTACTTGTGATATTGATTAAATACATGTATGTATTTAATCAATGCTTGTGGCAGGCTAAGATGGAAGCTTATCATCACTGTAAAGACTGTGATTTTAAGACGGAACTGACAGTTGTGTTTGAACAACACATTAATCAACATCACGATCCTAAGAGAGAATCTAGTGAGGATATATCTAGTGAGGATTCCAGCAAAGAAAACTACGGTTGCGCAAAATACTACTTTGAGCCAAATCTGTCGTTGAAATCGTTTCAGAATTCTTCAGTATGCACGGAAACGAAAGAAAGTTCTCAAAGTGTGAGTTCTTTGGAAGAGAGTGCCACATGCAGTTCCGACTTCAAGCAAACTGAGGAAGTACATTGGTATTATTGCCACAAATGTACCTACAAATGTAAAGTCAAAAAAACTTTAACTCGTCACATTGATGTGCTACATTCGCACAGGTGGTATGCATGCGACAAGTGTCCATTTAAAACTAAATGGAAAGGAAATCTAACAGTCCACATAAATACAATCCACTTAGATGAATATGAAGGCAAATGGTACAAGTGCCAAAAATGTCAATTCAAGACCAGAACAAAGGGTAATTTAAAATCCCATATAAATAACGTACACGTGAACGTTAAATGGTACACATGCAATGAGTGTTTTCACAAAACTAAACATAAAACACTTTTACAAAGGCACGTACTAGTCAAGCATAGATATCTAAACAAGCGAAATATTTAGAAAGTCATTTAATTTATATGTATTGTATCCGTGTGATTATTGCTCATATAATGCAGTGAATATTTAAAGCGTCATATAAGCAAATAACCATTTGGATGGAACTAAAGTTAAATGGTACCAACTGTCCTTACAAAAATTAAAAGAGTATCATCGTTTTATGAACAGGAAAAACACGTGTGGGATTTAGTTGAGGTTTAGTTGGATAGTAGTTGTATATAAATCTATTTTTTGTTAGTTCTTTTCTAGCATTTGTAACAGACTGTGTTATGTGTTATATTTTGTGACCAACTGTTTTTTAAGATTATGATGAGTAACATTTTAAATCTTTTTTTTTACATTACAGACATTAAATAATGTGGTGTCCCAATTTGAATTAAAAGTTCGCGCCGAAAAAAAAAAGCGACCCGAAACCGCTTTCGAATAATTTGAATTTAAAAAATGAATTAAGAAAATCGTTAAACATCGGCAACCATGTGCAACTTTAGTTTCTTTGCTGGTAGTTTAGTAGGTGTGTGGTTGAGATGCGTCACTTGTTGTTTGTCTGGTGTAGGTGTAACCACGCTGTAACTATTTTGGTTTGGTAATTTCATAGCTTTTGTTTAAACGAAACTTAAATCGGACCGACGGCGACGCCACAATGTGTGAATTTTTTAATATGTTGTTAACGCGTAGCATCAATTTATTGATTGCTATAAATTTACCGTTCATGTTAGGCTTTTCAACCGCTCCTGATTGTAACAGTTTAACACTAATTGAAATTGTTATTTTATTTCACGCAATCTTTCGATTTTTATACATTTTATTTTTCTTTTATGATACCGAAGAAATAAGCAACTTTATTCAAGTGAAATAGGTAATATTTTAAATTGTGAAAAGTCAAAAGGGATGGATGTTTTTTCCTAATTCAAAAATATTGTTAAAATTTAATACATTCTTATTTGGAAATTCTCAAATAGTAATTGGCATTATTCACGATTTAATTATAAACAGTGATCCCTTTGAACATTAGCAGTGGAGTAAATTTAGTTGGTCACAGTAGGCATAGCGGGCGCTTGCGAGGGCACTGCGGCATGGTTGTACGTAACTGTGTTTAGTTTGAAGAGACAGTCAAAGGCCGGATCTAGAAACATTAGCGCTAGACGTTCCACATCACCTAAATTGTTGAATTAAATCGTGTTCTTTTTCTTCTGACTGCCAAAATAATTTTAGAAATTTTCTTTTTACTCCTTGAGCGTAAGCAAAGAAAGTTTTGTAATCAAGTTTATCAGGGAGCGACTAGCTACTTTTATGCTTTCTCGATATTTCATGACCAACAGAATATGAAAAAGGTCTCTTCAGTCTGCCTGCCGTCTGTTCAGATTTTGATTAGCCAGATAATCTCCAAAACTACCGGACCGAATTCAGAAAAACAAGCTCGACAAGATATCAAAAAAAAATGTATAGTCTGTCATTAAAAAATAAGTGATATGTGATAGTGAAAAAAAAAAGAAATTATAGGATATCGAAACGAATTTATCTGATGACATTTATCTTCTTAGGCGGTTACTGGTATTACTTATCTATACTTATTTTAATGTAAAGAGTTTATCACGAATACAAATTCGCAAATCAAAACAAATTCAAAGAATCGTGATTTAGTGCAATTCACTTCGGGGTAGAGGGAAATCCTGTCGAAATGACTTGTGTGTCAATCTGTTTCCCGTCCGTCTGCGATGTTATTAGACAGATAATCCTCAAAACTGCTGTATCGATTATTGTAAATTTTAGGTATATTTTAGAAATATCGTGTTCATATTAACAAGTGGTGTTCCTCAAGGCTCGGTTTTGGGGCCGCTGCTTTTTGCATTGTTCGTTGATGATATCACTAAAATTATCGGAGACAACTGCTTAGTATATGCTGATGACGTAAAGGTTTTTTCAAAAATCGGAAATATTGCCGATTCTATCAAATTGCAGGAAGTTTTGGATAGAATTGTACTATGGTGTATAAACAATCGATTATTTTTAAATCCTGCTAAATCCAAAGTGATGTCTTTCACAAAAATTAAAAATGCAATGATTCATTGTTACACTATTTGCGGTCATGTAATAAATCGACCTGAATACATTAAAGATTTAGGAGTCACTTTGGACAGCCAGCTAAATTTTGTCAAACATGTTGAATTGGTGGTATCAGCGGCTTACAAAAGTTTGGGGTTTGTGGTCCGTAATACTAAGTGTTTTCGTAACTCAAGTACATTCATTAATTTATATTATGCATTTGTAAGATCGAAGCTTGAATATGCTAGTGTTGTGTGGAATCCATCATTTAAGTATTTAACAGAATCTATTGAAAAGGTTCAGAGACGGTTCTTGAAATATCTGGTGTTTCGGATTGATGGCATATATCCCATAAGAAACATTCCTCAAAAATTATTGTTGTGTAGATTTTCCATATTAAGTTTAGAGTGCCGAAGAATTATAAACTTAGTAATGTTTTTACATTCCCTAGTAAACAACAGATTGGATGCTCCAAGTTTACTTGAACAAGTGTGTTATTGGGCTCGACCACGTAGTTTGCGAGACAAAAGCATCTTTTATATAAAAAAATCAAGGACTAATATTTTGAAGTTCTCGCCTATATACAGGGTTAGTCACGAGAGAATTACTTCTGAAAATTATTTTTACGCAACCCAAAATACGAATACCATGTACCATTTGATACTAACTGAATTTAAAATGAAATGCTTAATCCATGATTGCTTTGAGTTTGACAATCTTATTTTGACAATTGTGGAAAAGGAGGTTACGCGAGTGTCCATGGTGGTACCGCATCCAGTCGGAAATCTCCTCCGGAGCCGCTAATAAATTTGTCAGTGTGCCTCTTGATCTTTTGCAACCGATTAATCACGAGAAAATTATTTCTAAAAATTCCTTTTACGGCATTTTATTCAAAGGTTACAACACAAACTCAAACAAGTAAGTAAATAATTTAACTACTAATCTGTTGAAAATGTTGGGCATTTTGGGGGGATGCTACGGCTTTTTTGTAAATGGATGGCCGAAGAAGTCCAGAGGTTGCAGATTTGCACTTCGAAGAGGCTCTAGGTGACGCAGAGATGGCGAATTAACACATGCACATTAGTGGCGAACAACATTGGTAGAGCACTTACGGCTTCAGTATAGCCCAGATTGATCTGACTGTATGTCGTCGATCCAATGGGGCTCTAGAGGCGAGCCAACGATGAAAAAAAATGTTAAAAATTAATTAACGTCAAAGTGACACTGCCAAAGTCAAAGCAATCATGGATTAGGCATTTCATTTTAAGTTTAGATAATATCAAGTGGTACAGGGTATTAGTATTTTGGGTTGCGTAAAAATAATTTTCAGAAGTAATTCTCTCGTGACTAACCCTGTATATGATGCAAATGTATTTTGATAAGTTCAATGCCGATGTAAATATTGATATTCACGTGGTCAGTGGCCAAGTACTTAAAAAGCATCTAACAAATTATTTTTTATACAAAAACGGCACTGATATTGGTAGTGGTGTCTGATCATCTTCTTGAGATTGAGATTGGTTTTCTACTGGTTAAAACATTAAATTTTTCAGCAGTTTTTTTTTTTTTTACTCTCTCTTTAAATGAATAATTTATTTATGTTCCTTTTTTTAAGCTTCGTAATTGGGTTGCGACCTGTGGAGCTTATATGATAATAAAAAAAAAAATAAAAAAAAAACATTGTAGATCATTGATAAAAAAAATATCTGTTCATCCTCTTGTGGTGTCCCGATTTTAAAAGTTCAATTTAGTGCAAAAAAAAAACGCCACGAAACCGCTTTGAAAAAGAAAAACTCAGTAACGTAGGCAATAAATTATCCATGTTTCAGTGCGTTTGGGGGAATAAAAAAGTTTACCTTTTGGATGCTAATTCTAGTCAATTTTTTATAAGACAGCGCAAGTAGAATTGTATTAAGAGTTGACTCGTTTCCTGTTTTGTCGCATTGTCGCATTATTTATTCTTTGTTGTGAGTGAAACCACGTACTAAAGTTGGTACGTAATTGTTTACAGTTTAGTCCCTAGAAATACATAGTATCGTCATCCATTGTTGAACGAGTGGAGCATATGCAGTTGGTAACCAATGCTGGGGACAGATACTTTTAAAAGTATCTAGATACAGATATAGATAGATGGAAGATAAATGTATCTAGATACAGATACAAGAAAACAGATAGTTGTTGAAGCTTTGGCGAATACAGTAACTGAAAACATGTTTTTGTATTTCTTTATGTATTGTTTAATGATTTTTTTAAAATTAACAACATTTCCAACGTATTGTCACCAAAATTATTTCTTCTTGGTGTCAGAATTTAGTTTCCGCTACTAAACACCCGTTCCACAGGTGCAGAAGAAGGGATTGTGGTATAAAATTTAAAAAATAAACATTTTACTGTAGCATAGTTTTTCAAGACTGAAAAATATTTTCTTTTTTCCTGCAAATAGGCCATCGCTTCGCTGTTTGATGTGTCGCAAATTGTGCAATATTTTTTACGTACGCTTAAAAAGAATATATATTTTTTTTATTACCATACTACATTGTCCAAATTGTGTTTGAGTATATCTAAAAATTATCTCCAGCATTAAAATTAATCTTTCAAAAGAATACGGGAAATGATTATTCTGTGCTGAAGATCTGTTGTCGGCAATCTGTTTATTATTATTCTTCAGTATCGGCTTACGATGTTTTTATGACCATGTCCGGTAATCGTCTATCCCGGTGCGGCAGGTATATACATTTTAGAAAGAATTGCTGGTTCCGTTTAAGGCAAGATAAGTACAATTTCTTAGAAAGGTATTTAAACCCCTTATAGGATCAAAGGCTACCTGGTAGGCCGGAATGACCAGAGTGCAACTTTAAATTTTCAGATTTTTGTTGAAACTCATTTTATTTTAATCTCGTTTCACGATTTCTGAGAATATATCACGATAAATTATACTACCGTGGGTTGTAAAAAGTTAATTTTATTGCCCAAGATTTACACTCAAACATAATCGGCACATTCTGGGGCAAAACGGACCTGCCAAGCCCGCCTCGCGTTAGGTCCAACAATGAAAAGTGAAGAAATGACACATATGGCAACAGGAAAAGATGCTACATTTATCTGAAAAATGAAGGTATAAAACAATAACAAATATGCGATTTATGGGAGAGAAATGTATGTATTGAACATTCGATTATTCGATTACAGAACTAATTTGTGCTAATTTGAATTTGACGCCAATGTGTGTTGTTGTGATTGGTCGGCACGATTGCAGAAATTAATGTAATCTAGTTGCATTCTGGATTTTAATCTGTGCGGTTATGTTCGTTCTAGTCATACGTGAATAAAGAAATATTTAATTCTTTCCGGTTTTAACTGTGTTCCAACGAGCTTTGGGTAAGAAAAATGCCAGTTTTCTTCCACACTGTGATAAACCGCTCTTAGGTGGCCACAATATCTGCTTTGGAATATTGCGAAGCGATCGCAACAGGTGGGATGTCTGCATGGAAAAACGTACACACCTGTAAACTATGCCCTTATTCTTCAACTTCGCTTTTCAGTATGGCGAACCACGTGAGACGACACTGTTTCCCCTTGGAGACATTTACTTGTGACACCGCCAAAATTGAAGCTTTTTACTGTAAACACTGTGATTTTAAGACGGAACTAACAATTCTGTTTAAACAACACATTAAAAAACAACACGGCCGTAAGAGATAATCTAGAAAGGATATATCTGGCCAGGATTTCTTGGTACAAAACTACGTTTGCAAACAATGCGACTTTGAAACAAGTCTGTCGTTGAAGTGGCTTCAGCATACTTCAGAATGCACGGGTACGAAAAAAAATCTTCAAAGTGTGAGTTCTTTGAAAGAGAGTGCCACATGGAGTTCCGACTTCAAGCAAACTGAGGAAACACATTGGCATCACTGCGCCGAATGTCCCTACAAAAATAAAATAAAAAGATATCTTAAACGCCACATTAAAAATAGGCATTCGAACAAACGGTATGCATGCGATAAGTGTCCGTTTAAAAGTAGACGTAAATGGGATTTAAAAATTCACATTAATAGAATTCACTTAGATGAACAAGATATTGAATGGTACAAGTGCCAAAAATGTCCATTCAAGACGAAAACAAAATCTAATTTAAGACTGCACACAAACAGCTTACACTTGAACGACGAAGACGTTAAGTGGTACAAATGCAAAAAGTGTAGTTTCAAAACTAAGCATGAAAGATACTTAAAGGTACACCTACGTGCGAAACATCCAGATGAAGAAAAAATTAAATGGTACGAATGTGAAATTTGCCCATTCAAAGCCAAATTGCCGTCGTACTTAAAAAAACATGTAATTTATCAACATTTGGATGAAAAAGAAGGTAAGTGGTACGAATGTACGACCTGTTCATATAAAAGTAGATTTGGGGCCAATTTAAGAAGGCATGTAAAGATCCATTTGAAGATCGAATCGTATCAGTGCGACTACTGTTCATATAAGACGAAATACAGTTATTATTTAATGAGTCATATAAATAGTCGTCATAAGAATAGAACAGATGTTAAGGAGTAAGGCTTTTAATAACTTGAATGTATATTCGTAAATTTTTGTTTGGCCAATAATTTGTTTTTCGTTTGTGTGAGCATTGTATGATGTATTACATTTTGTGACTATATTTTCGTTTAGATTTTGAAAAGAAAAATCAAATGATTATTTTTGTGTTTTATGTACATTATAGTTATTTATGTATTAAGGGCATAATCAGGGAGATTGTGGCACGAGGGAATGTTTAAAGCCCGACGAAGGAGGGCTTTTAATTTCCCGAGTGCCACAATCGACAATTATGCACGTGGTACATACAACGTTTTATTCTATTTTAGTTTCTAAACTATTTTTAACGAAATATTGAGTATTTTCGGCAAGACTGTGTGAATTGTGCCGATGCGAATTTTAATACATAGCTGGCTATTATTTTGATGTTGTTATGGATACCACGTTGATTATTTGATAATTCGTTTTTCAAAATGTAAATTAAAGAAACGGAAAACCTTTATTCAAACGAAAGTTTAGAAGAATTTGAAGTCGGTCAGGTAATGATTTGATAAAATATTATTTTTCCAACTTAAGAAAAACGTTGAATATCGAAGCCTGTTTGAATAATTAATTGATTAGTGTAAATGAACAATCAATTGTTGCTTAGCAATTTTTGACAGATTTGTGCTAAAAAGGCCAATTTAAGCCCGCATTTGGGTGCTTATAAATAAGATTATGGTTCTAAAATAGAATAAAATAAATAAACGCTTTAAAAAAATAAAGCACATAAGATGCACAATGTAAGGTTTAATACACGACGTCACAACAACTCGTGAGCCGAAAAACCCAATGGGCACACCTGTTCGTTGTGCCCCTGTTGACCTTCCACGTTTATTGTTGTCACTGATCGATCAATTTTTAAATAACTTATCAGCTTGTTTCTTTGATTAACGATCAAATTACCATCTCAGATTTTGTTCGTATTTAAGGAAGATGATCAGGTTATCTGGAACAGTAAAAGTATAAATTTTTATACGTATTAAACAGGTAGGTACTTTTTTCATAATGTCATTTTAAAAGTTATTAAAAAACAACATACATGGTCGGTAAAAAGTATGGAAGCACTTGAATATCACGAGGACGGTTTGTTGAATCTTTTTGAAATTTGGGCTTTCCATAGGAACACTCATGTTCTATTTTCTGCACTTTTTTTCTAATTATATACTTCATTTATTTTTGAGAGGCAGGGCTAATTTGATTTTTTTTAAAAAGCACTAGTAGTCAAATATTCCGTCATTAAATAGCACATTTTTTTATGAAATCAGAAATGTGGCGCATGCATTATTTTATTTTTTCCCAACATGGTAAAATAAATTGTCAAAATAAAAATAATGAAAATCAGAAAATCATGGCTAACCTTGACAATACTATCACCTGTCATAGTCCTGGCGTAGGACACGTTATTCAAAAACTATACTAGTGCCCAATGATTGTAAAAATGTTAGAACCGAGGGAACATAAACTGAAAGAAAGGTAGAAATAAGAATAATTTACAAAATATTCTACAAATAACAATACTCCGATTTAATGATTCTAACTAATGAATACATTTTTGAAAAATTTAAATAAAAAATTACGTTATTGAAAAAAGATCAAATTAACATTTCAAAATCAATAATTTTACAAGAAATGTTCTCCTGGCAGTGGTAAATACGTTACACAAAGTTTTCAAATGAATGTGTTAGATAAAAGGAGGAATATTAGTAATAATATTCAATATTTTTTCTTGGAGTTCTTCGATGCCGTGTGGTCTATTACATAAACTCGATTTTTTACCCACAAGAAAAAGTCAAATGGCGTTAAATCGGGTGACCTAGCTGGCCACTTAACTACTTCCCTTCGTCCTATCCACCTTCCAGGAAAAGCTTCGTTCAAGTAATGCCGTACTTGACATCCAAAGTGAGGTGGTGCTAAATCTTGTTGGAACCAGATGGTCTCTGCAAGTAAATTAGGGTTTTCATAGTTGGGAAATATTTGTCTATGCTGAGAAATAATAATTTGTTGCGAAAGTCGGAGGTATTTTTAGACGTTAAATTTCCGTTAATGAAGAAGAGGCCTACAATGTGGCGACTAATAATGCCGCACCAAACATTAATTTTTTGGGGGTACTGTGTATGAACCCCCTCCATCCAGTGTGGATTTGTATTGGACCAGGATCTGCAATTATGGTGGTTAACATGCCCATTCAAACAAAAAGTAGACTCATCAGAAAATAATAATTGGTTAATGAACGTGTGTAAAGAAATATTTAATCCTTTCCGGTTTTAACTATGGTCCAACGGTATTTAGGTAAGAAAAATTCCAGTGTTCTTCCATAGTAGGTCTGACAAAACGGTTTTAGGTGTCCAAAGTATCAACTTTAAAATACTATGAATAAAGTAATCACAACAGCTGGGAGGTCTTCATGGAAAAACGTACGTACCTGTAAACTGTGGCCTTATTTTTCAACTTCGCTTTTCCTTATGGCAAACCACATCAAACGACAGTGATTCCCTCAGAAAACATTTACTTGTGATATTGATTAAATACATGTATGTATTTAATCAATGCTTGTGGCAGGCTAAGATGGAAGCTTATCATCACTGTAAAGACTGTGATTTTAAGACGGAATTGACAGTTTTGTTTGGACAACACATTAATCAACATTACGACCCTAAGAGAGAATCTAGTGAGGATATATCTAGTGAGGATTCCAGCAAAGAAAACTACGGCTGCGCAAAATACTATTTTGAGCCAAATCTGTCGTTGAAATCGTTTCAGAATTCTGCAGTATGCACGGAAACGAAAGAAAGTTCTCAAAGTGTGAGTTCTTTGGAAGAGAGTGCCACATGCAGTTCCGACTTCAAGCAAACTGAGGAAGGACATTGGTATTATTGCCACAAATGTACCTACAAATGTAAAGTCAAAAATACTTTAACTCGTCACATTGAGGTGTTACATTTGCACAGGTGGTATGCATGCGACAAGTGTCCATTTAAAACTAAATGGAAAGGAAATCTAACAGTCCACATAAATACAATGCACTTAGATGAACATGAAGGCAAATGGTACAAGTGCCAAAAATGTCAATTCAAGACCAGAACAAAGGGTAATTTAAAATCCCATATAAATAACGTACACGTGAACGTTAAATGGTACACATGCAATGAGTGTTTTCACAAAACTAAACATAAAACACTTTTACAAAGGCACGTACTAGTCAAGCATAAATATCTAAACAAGCGAAATATTTAGAAAGTCATTTAATTTATATGTATTGTATCCGTGTGATTATTGCTCATATAATGCAGTGAATATTTAAAGCGTCATATAAGCAAATAACCATTTGGATGGAACTAAAGTTAAATGGTACCAACTGTCCTTACAAAAATTAAAAGAGAATCATCGTTTTATGAACAGGAAAAACACGTGTGGGATTTAATTGAGGTTTAGTTGGATAGTAGTTGTATATAAATCTATTTTTGTTAGTTCGTTTTTTCTAGCATTTGTAACAGACTGTGTTATGTGTTATATTTTGTGACCAACTGTTTTTTAAGATTATGATGAGTAACATTTTAAATCTTTTTTTTTACATTACAGACATTAAATAATGTGGTGTCCCAATTTGAATTAAAAGGTTGCGCCGAAAAAAAATCAGCGACCCGAAACCGCTTTCGAATAATTTGATTTAAAAAATGAATTAAGAAAATCGTTAAACATCGGCAACCATGTGCAACTTTAGTTTCTTTGCTGGTAGTTTAGTAGGTGTGTGGTTGAGATCCGTCACTTGTTGTTTGTCTGGTGTAGGTGTAACCACGCTGTAACTATTAAGGTTGCTTAGGCCAAGTTGATTTTGGTTTGGTAATTTCATAGCTTTTGTTTAAACGAAACTTAAATCGTACCGACGGCGACACCACAATGTGTGAGTTTTTGAGTATGTTGTTAACGCGTAGCATCAATTTATTGATTGCTATAAATTTACCGTTCATGTTAGGCTTTTCAACCGTTCCTGATTCTAACACAGTTTAACATTAATTGAAATTGTTATTTTATTTCACGCAATCTTTCGATTTTTATACATTTTAATTTTCTTTTATGATACCGAAGAAATAAGCAACTTTGTTCAAGTGAAATAGGTAATATTTTAAATTGTGAAAAGTCAAAAGGGATGGATGGTTTTTCCTAATTCAAAAATATTGTTAAAATTTAATAGATTCTTATTTGGAAATTGTCAAATAGTAATTGCCATTATTCACGATTTAATTATAAACAGTGATCCCTTTGAACATTGACAGTGGAGTAAATTTAGTTGGATACAGTAGGCATAACGGGCGCTTGCGAGGGCACTGCGGCATGGTTGTACGTAGCTGTGTTAAGTTTGAAGAGACAGTCAAAGGCCGGATCTAGAAACATTAGCGCTAGACGTTCCACATCACCTAAGTTGTTGAATTAAATCGTGTTCTTTTTCTTCTGATTCCAAAATAATTTTACGAATTTTCTTTTTACTCCTTGAGCGTAAGCAAAGAAAGTGTTGTAATCAAGTTTATCAGGGAGCGACTAGCTACTTTTATGCTTTCTCGATATTTCATGACCAACAGAATATGAAAAAGGTCTCTTGGTTCAGTCTGCCTGCCGTCTGTCCAGATTTTTATTAGCCAGATAATCTCCAAAACTACCGGACCGAATTCAGAAAAACAAGCTCGACAAGATATCAAAAAAAAGTATAGTCTGTCATTAAACAATAAGTGATATGTGATAGTGAAAAAATAAAGAAATTATAGGATATCGAAACGAATTTATCTGATGATATTTATCTTCTTAGGCGGTTACTGGTATTACTTATCTATACTTATTTTAATGTAAAGAGTTTATCCGAATACAAATTCGCAGATCAAAGCAAATTCAAAGAAGCGGGATTTAGTGCACTTCACTTGGGGGGAGAGAAAAATCCTGTGGAAATGACTTGTGTGCCAATCTGTTTCCCGTCCGTCTGCGATTTTATTAGACAAATAATCCTCAAAACTGCTGTATCTATTATTGTAAATTTTTGGTATATTTTAGAAATATCGTGTACATATTAACATGGTAGATCATTGATAAAAAAATATCTGTTCATCCTCTTGTCGTGTCCCGATTTTAAAAGTTCAATTTAGTGCAAAAAAAAAACGCCACGAAACCGCTTTGAAAAAGAAAAACTCAGTAACGAAGGCAATTAATTAGCCATGTTTTAGTGCGTTTGGGGGAATAAAAAAGTTTACCTTTTGGAGGATAATTCTAGTCAATTTTTATAAGACAGCGCAAGAAGAATTGTATTAAGAGTTGACTCATTTCCTGTTTTGTCGCATTGTCGCATTATTTATTCTTTGTTGTGAGTGAAACCACGTACTAAAGTTGGTACGTAATTGTTTACACTATAGTCCCTAGAAATACATAGTATCGTAATCCAATGTTGTACGAGTGGAGCATATGTAGTTGGTAACCAGTGTTGGGGACAGATACTTTTAAAAGTATCTAGATACAGATTGTTTTCAATTTTTTCGAAATGTATCTATATACAGATACAAGAAAACAGATACTTTTTGAAGCTTTGGCGAATAAAATAACTGAAAACATGTTTATGTATTTTTTTATGTATTGTTCAATGAATTTTTTAAAATTAACAACATTTCAAACGTATTGTCATCAAAATTATTTCTTCTTGGTGTCAGAATTTGCTTTTCGCTACTAAACACCCGTTCCACAGGTGCAGAAGAAGGGATTGTGGTATTAAATTTAAAAAATAAACATTTTACTGTAGCATAGTTATTCAAGACTGAAAAATCTTTTCTTTTTTCCTGCAAATAGGCCATCGCTTCGCTGTTTGATGTGTCGCAAATTGTGCAATATTTTTACGTACGCTTAAAAAGAATATATTTTTTTTTATTCCTATACTACAGTGTCCAAATTGTATTTAAGTATATCTAATAATTATCTCCAGCATTAAAATTATTATTTCAAAAGAATACCGGAAATGACTATTCTGTGCTGAAGCTCTGTTGTCGGCAACCTGTCATAAATTTATTATTCTTCAATATCCGCTTACGATGTTTTTATGACCATGTCCGGTAATCGTCTATCCCAGTGCGGCAGGTAGGTATATACATTTTAGGAAGAATTGCTGGTTCCGTTTAAGGCAAAATAAGTACAATTTCTTAGAAAGGTATTTAAACCCCTTATAGGATCAAAGGCTGCCTGGCAGGCCGGAATCACCAGAGTGCAACTTACAATTTTCAGATTTTTGTTGAAACTCATTTTATTTTAATCTCGTTTCACGATTTCTGAGAATTTATCACGATAAATTATTCTACCGAGGGTTGTAAAAAATTAATTTTATTGCCCAAGATTTACACTTAAACATAATCGGCACATTCTGGGGCAAAACGGACCTGCCAACCCCTCCTCGCGTTAGGTCCAACAATGAAAAAGTGAAGAAATGACATATGTGGCAACATGAAAAGATGCTACATTTGTCTGAAAAATAAAGGAATAAAACAATAACAAATAAGCGATTAATGTGAGAGAAATGTATGTATTGAACATTCGATTATTCGATTACAGAACTAATTTGTGCTAATTTGAATTTGACGCCAATGTGTTTTGTTGTGATTGGTCGGCACGATTGCAGAAATTAATGTAATCTAGTTGCATTGCGGATTTTAATCTGTGCGGTTATGTTCGTTCTAGTTATACGTGAATAAAGAAGTATTTATTTCTTTCCGGTTTTAACTGTGCTCCAACGAGCTTTGGGTAAGAAAAATGCCAGTTTTCTTCCACACTGTGATAAACCGCTCTTAGGTGGCCACAATGTCTGCTTTGGAAAATTGTGAAGCGATCGCAACAGGTGGGATGTCTGCATGGAAAAACGTACACACCTGTAAACTATGCCCTTATTCTTCAACTTCGCTTTTCAGTATGGCGAACCACGTGAGACGACACTGTTTCCCCTTGGAGACATTTACTTGTGACATCGCCAAAATTGAAGCTTTTTACTGTAAACACTGTGATTTTAAGACTGAACTAACAATTCTATTTAAACAACACATTCAACAACAACACGGCCTTAAGAGAGACTCTAGAAATGATATATCTGTCCAGAATTTCCTGATACAAAACTACGTTTGCAAACAATGCGACTTTGAAACAAATCTGTCGTTGAGGTGGCTTCAGCATACTTCAGTATGCACGGGTACGAAAAAAAATCTTCAAAGTGTGAGTTCTTTGAAAGAGAGTGCCACATGCAGTTCCGACTTCAAGCAAACTGACGAAACACATTGGCATTATTGCGTTGAATGTCCCTACAAAAGCAAACTCAAAGTATATTTAAAACGTCACATTAAAAATAGCCATTCGGACAAACGGTACGCATGCGACAAGTGTCCGTTTAAAAGTAGACGTAAATCCGATTTAAAAATTCACATTAATAGAATTCACTTAGATGAACAAGATATTGAGTGGCACAAGTGCCAAAAGTGTCGATTCAAGACCAAAGCAAAATATAGTTTAAGACTACACACAAACAGCTTACACTTGAACGACGAAGACGTTAAGTGGTACAAATGCAAAAAGTGTAGTTTCAAAACTAAGTATAAAAGATACATAAAGGTACACCTAGATACGAGACATCCAGATGAAGAAAAAATTAAATGGTACGAATGTGAAATTTGCCCATTCAAAGCCAAATTGCCGTCGTACTTAAAAAAACATGTAATTTATCAACATTTGGATGAAAAAGAATGTAAGTGGTATGAATGTACGACCTGTTCATATAAAAGTAGAAGAAGGACTAATTTTAGAAGGCATGTGAAGATCCATTTGAAGATCAAATCGTATCAGTGCGACTACTGTTCATATAAGACGCAATACAGTAAATGTTTAATGCGTCATATAAATAATCGTCATGAGAATAGAACGGATGTTAAGGAGTAAGGCTTTTAATAACTTAAATGTATATTCGTAAATTTTTGTTTAGCCAATAATTTGTTTTTCGTTTGTGTCAGCATTGTATGTGTTACATTTTGTGACTATATTTTCGTTTAGATTTTGAAAATAAAAATCAAATGATTATTTTTGTGTTTTATGTGCATTAAATAAAGAAACGCTTTAAAAAAATAAAGCACATAAGATGCACAATGTATGGTTTAATACACGACGTCACAAGCCGTGAGCTGAAAAAACCAGTGAGCACACCTGTTGGTTGTGCCCCTGTTGACCTTCCACGTTTATTGTTGTCACTGATCGATGAATTTTTAAATAACTTATCAGCTTGTTTCTTTGATTAACGATCAAATTACCATCTCGGATTTTGTTCGCATTTAAGGAAAATGATCAGGATATCTGGAACAGTACAATTATAAATTTTTATACGTCTTAAACTGGTAGGTATTTTTTTCATGTCATTTTAAAAGTTATTAAAAAACAACATACATGGTCGGTAAAAAGTATAATAGCACTTGAATATCACGACAACGGTTTGTTGAATCTTCTTGAAATTTGGGCTATTCCTAGGAACACTCAAGTTCTATTTTCTGCATTTTTTTCGAATTTTATACTTCATTTATATTTGAGATGCAGGGCTAATTTGATTTTTTTTAAATAGCACTAGTCAAATATTCCGTTATTAAATGGTACATTTTTTTATGAAATCAGAAATGTGGCGCATGCATTATTTTATTTTTTCCCAACATATTAAAATAAATTGTCAAAATAAAAATAATGAAAATCAGAAAATCATAGCTAACCTTGACAATACTATCACCTGTCATAGTCCTGGCGTAGGACACTTTATTCAGAAATTATACTAGTGCCCAATGATTGTAAAAATGTTAGAACCGAGGGAACATAAACTAAAATAAAGGTAGAAATAATAATAATTTACAAAATATTCTACAAATAACAATACTCCGATTTAATGATTCTAAATAATGAATACATTTTTGAAAAATTTAAATAAAAAATTACATTATTGAAAAAAGATCAAATTAACATTTCAAAATCAATAATTTTACAAGAAATGTTCTGCTGGCAGTAGTAAATACGTTACACAAAGTTTTCAAATGAATGTCTTAGATAAAAGAAGGAATATTAGTAATAACATTCGATATTTTTTCTTAGAGTTCTTCGATTCCATGTGGTCTATTACATAAACTCGATTTTTTACCCACAAGAAAAAGTCAAGTGGCGTTAAATCGAGTGACCTAGCTGGCCACTTAACTACTCCACTTCGTCCTATCCACCTTCCAGGAAAAGCTTCATTCCAGTAATGCCGTACTTGACATCCAAAGTGAGGTGGTGCTAAATCTTATTGGAACCAAATGGTCTCTGCAAGTAAATTTGGGTTTTCATAGTTGGGAAATATTTGTCTATGCTGAGGAATAATACTTTGTTGCGAAAGTCGTGGGTATTTGTCGGACGTTAAATTTCCGTTAATGAAGAAGAAGCCTACAATGTGGCGACAAATAATGCCGCACCAAAGATTAATTTTTTGAGGGTACTGTGTATGAAGCTCCTCCATCCAGTGTGGATTTGTATTCTACCAGTATCTACTATTATGGTGGTTAACATGCCCATTCCAACAAAAAGTAGACTCACCAGAAAATAATAATTGGTTAATGAAGTTGCCATCCTGACCTAGTCTGACTGCCATTATTTCACAAGACTGTAAAGAGAAACACAAAATAAGTACACGTGTTCATTGTTTCCCGAGAGTTTCTTTATTTTTCTAATAATAAAACTTTGAAAGAACATAATAGACGCATTTTCAGGCCTAATTTTAATATAATGTTTGGAATTTTTCACCTGTCGCATGTTTATAATGGAACTCAACTTTGTGTGATGGAGAGTAAGGGGTTGGAATATAGAACAGGTAAAATTTCTTACTTCTTGTTTTGGTGCGTTACGTTGTAGCCATGTGTTGAAACCTCTCACGATTTAGTAGCAATGATGCAAAGGTAAATGTGGAAATGCACTTGACAAAAATTCACTTATTCAGGCTTAACTTAATAACGATATCTAAATTTTTCGATGATTTTCCCTGAGTTATTATACACATTTCATAATTTCTCACTCGAGTTTTTAAAATAGTATGTTGATAGAACTTAAAAGTAACTTTAAATATTGATGCACTTTGAAAATTAATATCTTCGTGAATTAAGCTGCATTTAATACGTGTTCGAAAACATCTTAAGTGGAAAACTCGAAAAACTATGAATCAAAAAATTGAAAACGCTTCTAAAATTCAAAAATCGGTACCAAAAAAACTCGAATTTTCTTTAGTTTGCATCAACGCCAATGTGCTTTGTAGGGAGCGGGGAAATTGACGAGATATCAAACGAGATTTAAAAAATAGTACTTTGATAGAACTTAAAACTAAGTGTAAAATTTAAATGAATCATTTTGAAATAAACGAATCATGAAAATGGTTTTCTCTTCCGGTTCAAAGTCTTTTTATTTATTAGTTTATAATTTTTGTATCCGGAAAATAAAAAAACTGAGAAAGCGACAAATAGAAAAGCTAAAGAATATTTAAAAAACAAAAATCGGCGCCAATTAGAAAACACGCCATTTTGGGCAAATTTAAATTCGACGCCAATGTGCTTTGTGATTGGTCAGCATGGGTGCAATCTATTTGGACTGATGTTTTTAATGTGTGAGGAGGTTATGTTCGGCCGAATGGCATGTGCCTGAAGAAAATTTTATCATTTTCTGTTTTGACTGTGCTTCAACAAGCTTTGGGTAAGAAAAGTGCCAGTTTTTATCCATAGTGTGATCAAACGATTTTAGATGGACAACATAACATCTGGAATACCGTCAAGCAATCACAATGCGTTGGAGATCTTTATGGAAAAGCGTTCACAACGGTACACTATGTCCTTGTCTTACAACTTCGCTTTTCTTTATGGCGAACCACGTGAGACGACACCTTTCATCTGTTGAGAAATTTACTTGTGACAACGCCAAAATTGAAGCTTATTGCTCTAAAGACTGCGATTTTAAGACGGAACTAACACATTTATAAAATCACGGTCTTAAGAGAGGATCTGAAAAGGATTTATCAAGTCAGGATTTCCGCATACGAACCTAAAAATAGGACCTTGAAGGAAATCTCTCATTGAACTGGCATCAGCATACTTTAATATGCACGAGAAATACAGAAAATCTACAAGTGGGAACTTTTCAAAACAGAAGATTATAAACAATTCGGACTTTAAGCAAACTGACGAAATACATTGACATTACTGCGCTGAATGTTCCTACATACCTGAACTCAGAAAATATTTAAAATGTCACACTGAAAATCACAATTCAAACAAACGCTTTCCATGCGACAAGTGTCCATATTAATCTAGACGTAAAGCAGATTTAAAACTCCACATAAATGGCATCCACTTAGATGAACACGCTATTGAATGGCACAAGTGCCAAAAATGTTCATTCAAAGCCAGAACAAAAGGGAATTTACAACAACACATAAACTACTTACACTTAAACGACGAGGACGCTAAATGGTACAAATGCAACGAGTGTTCTTTCAGAACTATGCATAAAATATTCTCAAGCGTTCATGTTGGAATATAACATCTAGATGAAGAAAAAATTGAATGGTATGAATGTGAAAATTGCCCATACAAGTTAAACTGGCTTCGCATTTAAGAAATTGTGTAATTTTTCAACATTTGGATGAAGAAATAGTTAAGTGGTTCGAACGTGCCAATTGTCCATATAAAAGTACAGCAAAAACTAATTTGAGAAGGCATGTAAAAATCCACTTGTGATCAAATTTTATCAGTGCGACTATTGTTCATATAAATCGAAGCTCTGTGATCTATTAAGCGTCATATGAATAAGCACCATGTGGATGGAAAGGATATTAAGGAGTACAAATGCGAACACTGTCGTTACAAAGTTGACTGTAGTAATACGTATATGTTTTGTTTAGCCAGTATTTTTTTTATCATTTCTGTCAGCAATCTATGATGTGCTATATTTTGTGCCTATCGTTTCATTAAGATTAAAGATAAAAATAATTAAATGTTTAATTTTTTCATTACATACATTAAATAAATAATATCTGGTTGACCGAGCTTCACTCGGCTCGTTTGGTAGTATTAGATCAGATTAGGACAGATAAATATGCGTATAGTATGCATTTTGAAGTAGACGCGCTAATTAAAAATACACATTAAAAAAGAAATTCCATAAGCAGTCTCTGTTTTAAACAGTGATAAGTGACATGTAGAGATTAAAGAACAGAAAAGTGGAATTATTGTTTGACATTTATTACAATCTCATTTGTTACCCAAGTTTTCTCTCTGTCGTTCTTTTTTTTTCCTAGTTCTCTCTCTCGACTCTAGAAAAAGGTCACAACTATATTCTTACTGCCAGAAGAGTTTCGCCTCTGGTGTGGTTATCATACTGAGTTACCGTGCTCTTTTGCGTTATTCCTAATTTCTCAATCTCAACCCTGCTCCCGAAGATGCCACTTACGAAAGTGTGCGAAACGTTGAACCCAAAAACTCAAATAACACGGTCCCATCCCGGAAAACGATCACACATTGACTCCGACCGTGAAACCTCTGAAATGAATGCTTGACAAAATAATCTCAATTCAACGCACTTTCGTGTGCCTTTTATCCGCTCACTCTTTAGTTTTCGGTTAATTTTCTCACCTCAGAAGGTGAATTTTAACGTCCTCTATACAGTGGAGTATGTTTCGGTACGTACAATTGAAGATAAAAAGGTACGTCAAACGTACTGTCAGAGTGTCACCCAAACTTCTCTTATAAAACAATCTCGTATTCGTGTAGTGTCATCTGAAGTTGCCTAGCAACAAATATAATTCACTGCCTGAAAATTGCTGAAAATGCATGAAGCTGTAATTTTCAGAAGTTAAAACTATGATCAACCGATTTTTTGACCCAAAAAACCCC